TAAACTTGGACACGAATTTTGGAGGAGACACTATCATTCAAACCATAGCAAAGGTTCTGTAATTTTCCTAAGGCCCCAAGTCAAGAGTTGGATCTGGGTTCAAATTCTGACACTCTGATTTCAAAGCCCCCAGTTACTCAACCCTTAACTGAGTATTTGTCGAATCAATGGAAACGGGTGGCAGCCTGCACATGCCACTGATAATACAGCTACAGGACATGAGAAGACTTTCAGTAAATTCCTTCTTCTGCCTTCTTTATTTTTCTTCCTCTGTCCCTATGTCAAGGCTGCTATTTTGCTAGAGCAAATTTTGAAGTTAACACTCATTTTATTTCTTTATATTCATCGTAGATATAAGCGTCAATATGGAATGTTAACTGATTACCATATGGAACACAGGAACTCTATAACCAGATATCTCTTTTGCCTGTTTTTAACAACTTTATGCATTTATGAGCTGTAAAGAGCACATTTCTTTTTATATGTATTTCATTAGCCATTTATTTACCAAAACAGTTTATCCTTGTGAAGTGGAAATATTATATATCAGAGTTTAATACAGGCAAAAAATATTTATTATGAGTGGATATAAAAGTATTTAAAATATCGTGCAATCACATAGTAACGATTGATCAAAGCAAGAATATCCTATGCATTAACATTACTCTTTTATTTGGGTCTTGTCATTCTGGAATTACTTTTATTTAGAATGATTCCGATCCTACAGCAAGTTCATTAAGATGCCGTAACACTTTCATAACAGTTAATTAATTAATTAACAAATAATTAATTTAGTAGAGACCAAGTCTTACTATGTTGTCCAGGCTGCTGTTGAACTCCTGGCCTTGAGCAATCCCAAAGTTTCAGGGTTACAAGAGTGAGCCACCACTCCTGGCTCAATAAGAATTTATTATGTTGATCCTTATTTATTTATTTATTTAATTTTTTTTTTTTTTGAGACAAAATCTCACTCTGTTGCCCAGGCTAGAGTGCCATGGCATCAGCCTAGCTCACAGCAACCTCAAACTCCTGGTCTCAAAAGATCCTCTTGCCCCAGCCTCCCAGGTGGCTGGGACTACAGGCAGGCACCACTGTGCCTGGCTAATTTTTGGCTATTTTTAGTTGTTTGGCTAATTTCTTTCTCTTTATAGTAGAGACGGATTCTCACTCTTGCTCAGGCTGGTCTCGAACTCCTAAGCTCAAACGATCCTCCTGCTTCGGCCTCCCAGAGTGCTGGGATTACAGGCATGAGCCACCGCACCTGACCTATGTTGATCTTTTTTGAGTGCTGCTATTCTACCTTTTTATCTGATAAAAACAGCATTTTCATATAGTTCAACCTAATAGTTGCTATAGCCAAAGAGGTAAAGTACAGAGTTGCTAACCTTTTTTAAAAAATTATTTTTAAATTAAATAAGATTTAAATCTAAGAGTTTCTATATAAGCTGATGGGTAACATATGATTAAATGCTTTACTTGGCTGCACAGTGCTTTGAACGGATAAGTCAAATGAACGACGTGAGCCAGGCCACACCAAGAAAATCACACAAGCAGCCAGAGACCGTCATCTGTTGCTGTAGCAATGCCCTGTCAGCGAGCAAGTAGACAAGGAAGAAGAAACGTGAGCGTGTCCTATAAGGGTTTGACAAAATAGATTGTAACTTGGCAGCAGACTATGAACTTGCTAAAGGTCAAAACCTGGACTTGGCACTCGTATCTCACAGAACTCGCTTATCTAGATGTTTTAAAACTGTCTTCCAATGTGCCCTGCTTATCGAATGGCAAGACAAAAAACAAGGAACATTTGTTTCTCTGCTTGCTCCCATGTAGCTGTGCGGCTCTGGGACTGGGTAGCTAACATATGGAAACTGGGTTGCAGGGTTGCTGTAAAGCAGCTGAGTGAGCCCAGCACAAGCCAAGGTGGCCCTGGGCCTTGCGGGGATGTCCCGGGCTGAAGCAAGAGTGTGGCATCAGTGCTGAGATCTGGAACATCAGCAGATCTACCCAATTCACAGGGGGCCATCATGAGCAGAAGGGAGCCAGAAAGTGGTGGAGGTGGTGGGTTTAGAAAAGCTGGTGGCTCGTGAGAGAATGAACCCAGCAAGGCCTGAGGAGGGCAGGAGAGGGAAGTGCTCAGTGGGGAGCACATATGAGCGTGAAGGGCAGCCCACCTGGCAGCAGATGATATCAGGGGAATTTTGCCTCAATTATTTTAGCATTCTGACATAAGTGTGTTTCCCTGAAAAACCTGGATAAATGCCTTTAAGTGAGAGAGCATTTAAATGAGATAGCACTATATGCAATCTATTATAAGTATTCAGTTAATTCCCTTCTTATAAAATCAAGAGTCAATGACAGATGTTCTATGTTGATATGTCTGTTTTATTATATATACATGTATGTGTTGTTTTATTATATATACATGTATGTGTTGTTTTATTATATATACATGTATGTGTGTTTCTATATTTCTATCTGTATCTGTAAGTTTATGTAGACATCTACCTCAGCAGGCAATATTAGAATTGTGAGTGTCTATAACAGTCTATACCTCTAATTACACTAATTTGGTAATGTGTTTTGTGTCCATTTTAGACTAATAGCGCTAGATAACTGGTTATATTCTCCTCAGTAGTGTTTTTCAAATAGTACTTCTTCTTAACTATGTGATATATGACAGAATGGTTGGATGAATAACCAAGCATTCTCAAATAATTGAGAACACTTTGTGAACAGATCCAGATTTGTAGCTACTATTCTCAATATGATTTTCAAATAATATTTTCTGTAGCACAGGGCTTTAACTTTTTGTTTGTAGGTTGGCAATCAAGGGCTGAGTTTGCCCACTTGCCATATTTCTACTGACAAACATGAATATCTTAATAACTTTCAGGAATGAAATGCAGAACTAAATTGAAAAAAAAAACCAGTGTTTTAAAATCTCTTTAACCTATTAAAAAACTAAATTTTAGTAACATCTATCAAAAAGTAATAAAGTGTAATGTAGCAATTTTATACCTTGAAATGGAAGGTTTTATAGGTAGATATATTAATAATACACGTTTACTACAAGATCTGAAGAAATAAAATCTTAAGAACATTTTTAAAAGAACATTTCCTATAAAAGAATTACCTTCCCTTAGGCTATGAAAAACTGACAAGAGAAGATGCTGCTGGCTTCTCAATCCCCAAAAGAATAAGAACTGCAGTTATAGGAATGTTAGGTAGTGGCTGATTGAGTGAATGAATGTTGGGTATGTGTGGGAAAAGTAGAGGACTTCAAAGAACACTTTAAGCTCTTTGCCATCAGTAGATAGGCTTTGAGATTGGGGAAGAGGAATCGCACTGGTTTGATTATGCTTCTAGAATGATGTCCTATATCAATGAGCAAAAACTTGATGTGTGTATGTTCCTACTTTGGCATTGAACTGTGCTAGGTGCTGAAGGTTGATGCAAAAAAGCCCCAAAAACCAAACAAACAAGTCCTTGTCTTCAAAGAGTACATGGCCTAGCCAAGGACACCATGCAGATAGGCATGGAAAAATAGCTGTCAACACAAGTCATTAAATGACAAGAGCCAAATGAGTAGTGTGGGGGCAAAAGTCAGGGAGGGTCAAACCGAAGTCTTCATGAGAATGGTGGAAGTCAGAGGGTGGCAATCGTGACAGCCAGGGAAGTAGGGAAGACCTTGCAGAGAAATGGCTCAGGATGGGGAGCAGAGGTGGAAAAGCCCTAAAAGATCTCCCGGGCGCAGTGGGCAGATCATCAGACTGGATGATGTAGGGAGAGAGTGGAAGAGAGTCCCGTGCCAGATTGTGGAGCGCTGCTAGGAGTTTCAGGCTAACAACTTTGACTCTTCCTGTAGGCAATGGGGAAACACTGAAACCTTTAGAGCAGGTGTCCTCAAACTACGGCCCATGGACCACATGAAGGTGTTCTTGCCTATTTGTGCTTTTACTTCAAAATGAGATATATGCAGTGTGCATAGGAATTTGTTCATAGTTTTTTTTTAAACTATACTCCTGCCCTCCAATGGTCTGAAGGACAGTGAACTGGCCCCCTGTTTAAAAAGTTTGAGGACCCTTGAAGGAAGTGATCACCAGGATGAGAGTAGAGTTTTAGAAAAGTCATTCAGGTGGTGGTGCAGAGGAGGAATTGGAATGGGAGAACTTGGTGGCAGGGCTACCTGGAAAAAAGATTTCCCAGGAAGAATCAATGGGGTCATTAGATAGGAGTGGTGAGAAAAGAGAGAGAGACATCAAAAATGATTTTCAGACTTTGAATTTGGGTCACCAGTAGCAGAATATAGAACCATACAAATTCCACCAAGTTCAAGGAAAACAAATGATAGGAACAAAGATCCATGAATTGGTGATCAGCATGTCTTTAAGGTCTCTAAGGAGCAAGAGGGCTTGAAGTTGACCTCAAGGATTCAGTAAAGGTTGATCTAACCCCATGCCATTCACTATAGTAGTCCCTGGCCACATGCCACATGTAGCCATGGACTTGCAATGTGCCTAGTCTAAATGAGATATGCTGTAAGTGTAAACTACATACCAGATTTCAAAGAGTTAGTATGAAAAAAGGAAAGTGAAAGATGTCATTAATAACATTTAAATATTGGTCACATGTTGATAATATTTTAGATATATTAGACTAAATAAAATATGCTATGAAAATTAATTTCACCTTAATTTTCAAAAAATATGACTATTAGAAAATGTACTCATATTTCTATTAGACATTGCTGATCTAGACCTTCACAGTGAAGCTCGCTAATATAACACCAATATATCACAGCGAAACAGACACACACGCTTTAAAGTTAAAAGCATTTTTATTCCATCCATCCAGTCTGAAGTCTCTCAAAATGTGTCTTGCACTTTGTGACACATTTCTGCATTTTGTGAGCAGGGTATATTGTAGAGATCCATTTGTTTATTTTATCCAAAACTTAGGTTATTACATCTTACTGAACATTTGGCTCTTTTTTCAACCAGCAGATGATGCTACAGCTGACAGTCGCAGAACTTACACTCTAACTGATTACTTAAAAAATACTTTAAGACTGAAGTCATACTCCTTACGGTGGGTTTCAGGTAAGAATTTTTTTTGTAGGGGGCAGATTTTTTTGCTTAAGTCCATTTTAGTTAAGTCGCATTGTGGGGCACTTATATGGCTCTGAGAAGATATAATTCCTTTTTAAAAAAACTCTGTGGAGAGTATTTTTTTTTTTCTGGTTAAGGGTTCAAAGGGAGAGAAGACAGATAGAAACCCAAGTATTTCTTTGACTTGTACTATAAAAAGTTAAAAGTGAGTTGAATCCTTGACAATAATGGAAAAATGAATGAATGCTCATGTAATATTGATCATTCATGTTTTCCCAACTTAGAAATGCCTATTTAGTACTTGTGTGAACTTAAATCTTAAATTTTATTTCATAATTTTCAGCTTATGAAGATGTTTAGTAGCAACTTGAAATATTGATCTGGTTGTTTTCTCTCTTTAGATCATGAATATCTCTACAAACAAGAAAATAATATCTTGCTAGTCAATGCTGAATATGGAAACCACTCCATGTTTTTGGAGAACAGTACATTTGTATGTTTAATCGCTTAATTAATTCATGCATTAAAGTCTGGGGATTTTTTTTTTCACTGCCTTTCGAATCATGAGTACTATCATTTCTCATCCTGTTGGACTCTCTCTGCAGCATATGGCACAGTGGATCTTTCTCTCCTTCTTGAAATGCTCCCTGCCTTGGCTACTTTTTAGTCTCCTTTGATGATTCCTCCTCCTGTGCCCATATTTTTAAATGTAAGTGCTCCCTGGGCTCTGTCTTCAAATACCGGCCTCTCACCTGCTTTGCATGCTCTCCTCTGGTAACTTTCATGCACTTCCACGGCATCAGCACTCTCCTCTCTGGCCTTGATTCTCATATACACACACTTACTGTAACACTAGCCCCCCTACCCCCAGATCCACACTTCAATTGCCAGTAGCCTGCCGGCTGGCCTGCAGGCATTTTAAACTCAGAATTCCAAGCAAAATTGCTAATCTCCCCTTTACTGTCCCAGCAAACTGAAAGCATCTTATTTCTCTTCCTGAGTTCCCAATCTTGGTAAATAGTCACTTAATTCTCCTCCTAGTCACTTAAGCTAGAAACCTGGGAATCATCCTTGACATCTCTGTCAAGCCCTGTAATTAAGCTACTCAACAAACCCTCTGCAAGTGGGGTGTGCCACAGATTTCCATTTCCACTGTGCAGTCCTGGCTCCACCGTCCTTTAACCTTGCAGTCGTGAGAGCTCTCACTTGTGTCCCTATCTGCATTCTGTAGACCCTACCACTGCTCTGCCCACGCCCAGGTGGGTGCCACCCCTTTGCTCTTTTCAGCTACTGTGAAAAGAGTTTCAGCTACTGTGTCACCAGAGATTCTCTGTCAAAGATAGATACGACTGGACTGTATCACTTCCACATGCAAAAGTGGGTCATAGTTCCACATCTAATATAATACTTAGGCCTCAGCTATTTTTCTAATTTGGTGTCCTCCCACCTTCCACTGTGTCTGACACCCCCCATACTTCAGATTACACATAACCCCTAAACATTCTTCAGGCATGCATGCCCCTTCCCACACCTGGGGTTTGCTCATGCTGCCCCCCCTATTGAGAGAGTTCTCTCTCCTTTCCTCAGCCTCCCCCTCACAGCCATCTTTCCTCGGTTATGATTAATCCATCCCTTTCTGGCTAACACTGATTGCCACTCAGTTTGCATCATGGTCGTTTGTGTGGGTGGACATGCCATTGCTCAGATGGGGTCCAGAACAGTCCCTCTATGTGGTAAGTGCTCAATCATGGCCGCTAAATTGAATTAGTCAATTTTTCTTTTTTCTTCTCAATTGACAGGATGAGTTTGGACATTCTATAAATGACTATTCAGTATCTCCTGATGGGCAGTTTATTCTCTTAGAATACAACTATGTGAAGGTAAAAGAAATGCTTTCTCACTGTTACATTTAAAGAGTCTTAGAGTGTGGTACTTTATAACTGATTTCAAGTGGATATTTAAGATTGACATCTAAGTAATATAATAGGCACTAAAAGCTCCTCAATTCAGAATCAAAGAGTCATTCTCATTCATGAAAGACAAGCTCAACCAATGTTTTAAAAGAAATTCATTTTTAATGCTTTCAAATAATAAAAAGCATAGTTATATTCTATTATAGATACTAAGCCAATGAAAATTTATAATAGGAATTTGTCATATAATTTAAAAGTAAGTTAACATGTCTGACTTATCCATCTACTGATACAACCCCTTATTTCCTTTGTCTTAGCTTTACATATAGTAAGACTCTCAATAAGTATTTGCTTTAAAAAGAGTCAAACTTGTGCCAGGCACGGTGGCTCACACCTGTAATCCTAGCACTCTGGGAAGACGAGGTGTGCGGATCATTTGAGCTCAGGAATTCAAGACCAGCCTGAGCAAGAGCGAGACCCCATTTCTACTAAAAATAGAAAGAAATTAATTGGCCAACTAAAAATATATAGAAAAAATTAGCCGGGCATAGTGGCACATGCCTGTAGTCCCGGCTACTTGGGAGGCTGAGGCAGGAGGATCGCTTGAGCCCGGGAGTTTGAGGTTGCTGTGAGCTAGGCTGATGCCATGGCATGCTAGCCTGGGCAGCAGAGTGAGACTCTGTCTCAAAAAAAAGGGGTCAAATTTGCCATCCTCCAGAAGAGATTCTGCAAGATGGCCCACACCACCTCCTGACCTTCAGGTCCTTCCCTGTACAAGCCATTGTAAGGGGCGAACCTCAGCACCGTGACAAAGCTTCTTACGAGAGTGCTCAGCTTCCTCCAGTGGCCTGGCCCAACACCGAAGTCTTGCACATTCAGGAAAGGTTACAGCTTAATCACACATCCTCCTCATGTTTAGTATGCAAACCGCCAGGAACTTTAACAGCAGCTTTTTGGTTATTCGTGGATTTGACAACGGTTGCCAAGTATAGGAAGTTTTGAGACATGTAGGGAAGCTTAGAAACTAAGGGCATACAAACTAAGAGACACTCTGGATTGAAATCAAAATGCAAAGCGGGGACTCCTACCCCTGACCTTTTTTTTTCCCCCAGGGCAAATAGCATTGTGGTGCCTTATCTCACACACCAACACTGCTGTACTCAGGCCAAGAAAACCATTCCCTGCTCCATTTATCATCTCGGGATGGCAACTCTCAATGATAATATTTACCCTGGATTCCCTGTGCTGGGCTCTATTTCCTGGACAGAAGACTCTGACTGTGTTCTGCTAAACTTGTCAACTCTAAGCAAATCAGAATCCTATGCCAGCTTTAACATATCTGTTGCCAGTTAATGCATTATTGTTTGTTTAAGCCAGTGCTTCTTATTGCTACCTATAGAATAAATTCACTTGAGGAACTTTTAAGGATTCCCAGTATCCAGGTTTAATCCCCAGATCAATAAATGGAAAACTCTGGGGTAAAGCCAGCAACCAGGGAGACAACCACAGAGTTGTCCATTTTCAAGACTAACATATGAAGGTAAGGTAGAAACAGAAAGGTAATACTAGCTCAACTTACTCTCTGGCCTGGTTCAACAGTGCTGTTTGATGTGTACTAATGGATACATTTCACTGGTAGACCTTAGTTGGACAGTCACCATTAGCGATTTGTATTTGTTGTGTCACCACAGTTTACTCATTTATTTAACTACTTTTGCTGTATTCACTCTGTCCCCTTTCCCCTGCAATCCATACTTCAGGCAATAACCAAAGTGCTCCTTTTAAATCCTAAACTAGCTTTTGCCATACCTGTGCTTAAGCCCTGCAGTGGCTACCCATCACACTCAGACTCAAACACCAAATCTAACTGTGGAGTCCATGGGGCGGTGTGATTGGAGCCCAGTCTGCTCAGCCGAATGCATCTCCTAGCCCCCTCTCCTGCAGACACCATGGTTGGCCAGTACTTCTTGGCCCACCTGCACTGTAGGATTACTTGGGGAGGTTTTAAGAAAACACAGATGTCTGTGGTCTACCCCAAAGCACCTAAGTCAGTAAAAGCTATGGGGGGTGCCCAGACCCTGATAGAGTTAAGGGCTCCCAAGTGATTCCATGATCTACAGTTGAGATCCTTTAAGTGAACAGCTCTTTCCTTGTCTCAAGCATCGCCTTCATTCCCATGTAATAAAGGGCCACAGCACTTGTTACCGCTTCCTCCTAGAACCCTCTTCCCATCATGTGGCTCTTCCTTTATGTTAACCTTTATGTTATGTCCTGGCTTTGCTGGAGCACTTTATCTATCATGGCCCTTTGCCCCCCTGTTCCACCTGCACCCCATAAATCACTCTCTCTCACATTAGCCCATTTTAGCTTCTTCACAACATTTTGTGATATTTTGCTATCTACTTCTTTGCCTATTTATTGCCTGCCTTATTTAGCACCAGTTTCCCCATGTTTTCATCACTGCTGCACTTCCAGCCCCTAGGATAGGGCCACATAGCGGATGCTCAACAAATACTCATTCAATAAATACACATTTTATTATAAAGCAGAAAATTATAAGGTTATTGAGCATAGGGAACTATATCTTCTATTTCCTTTTTTTTACTTCCTAGAGTATCTAGTGTAATTTCTGTATAGCATAAATGTTTTGGTTAAGCAAATCTCAAGAAACATATCCAGAAGAAAGAAAAGTATAATTTTATTACATTTCCTTGGAGGTCCACTGTCCAGTGTTTTTGAGATCCTATTACACGGCCTCTCCATGACTGAGTTAGCACATCCAGAATGATCAATTATTACTTCTGAGTTGTGGCTAGAAAGAAATAAATTGGTGAGTGAGTGAATACATGTATAAATGAATAAGCACCATACAGTTGGGCATGGATGTTCTCCTAGCATCTCTGCCCTTTGCTTAATGCTCTGGAGATAATGATAATATTTATATCATCTGTTCCTTGTTAACAATGTTCCAAAATCATACTGCGCATTTCCCATGCATTCTCATGGGAACACCCAGAGATTGTTGCTATGATTATGCCCATTTTCCCAAAAATGAAAACTGAAGCTTAGAAAGAAACTTGCCTCATATTACACAGTGGAGACTTGAATTCAGGTTAGAAGACTCCAAAGCTTGTGCTCTTAAACGTGATCTTTCCTACCTTTGCACTTGAACTTCTCTTTGCTACATTGCTCTTTTACCCATTCTCCATCATCCTCTACCACTAAACTCAGCCCAAGAATCACCTTTTGCATAAGCCTCTCTCCCTCCTCAAGACCTAATTTATGATTCCTACCTCTCCCCACCCACCTCCATTATATCTCTTGGCACATCCTACTGTGATTCTTTTATTATAGTTTATTTGTCCATATTCCCCATTCAATTATGAGCTGCTCACGGGGAGGGAACCTGTGTTATCCAGTAATGTCTGGTAGATGATAGCTGCCATATTCATAGACTAAGAGAATGATGAGTCTGTTTTAAAAAAGTGAAGTGAACATACCAAACATCTTGGATTTCCTTTTACAAGCCGTGATGGTTTGTCATCCTGAAATGACCTCACCCCTTCTTAATATTTTTAGCCTGTACAACACCTTTTGGTAGTAGCAAGTGTATGCTCAAGGTTGCCCAGAAACAGGCATAGAGTATGTCAAAATGCTGGGAGTTCACGACTCTCCCAAAAAGTCGAGTCCCAGGCAGGAACATCACAAGAGATTGGAAATAAAGGAGACAAAGTATAGATTAAAGTGATGTGGAAATCAGGGGTCCTCCATTATTCTTGTGAGCCAGGAGGCCACGAATGGAGTCCCGCATCAATATTTATTCTTTCAGCAAACAATTATTATCAGTCACCAGTTTACATGTACATATCATGAGTTTAAGTTTTGAGGTCTCCCAAGGTAACAATAAATTAGCTAAGTATACACAAGTTAAAGATAAAATCGTGAGTCAGCAGTAAAGCATATATTCCAAATGGGAACAAAGTGACCACGTACTTCTTTCTACTTTCTCTAGTTCCTTATTTACTGAGATGTGAGCTCAGGAGAGAGAGAGAGAGAGGAACATTGCCTCAGGTTTAGAATAGCAACTGCTATTATCTTCTGGGCTGACATCCTTTGATCATTCTCTCTGCCTTTGGATTACAAGCCCAGTCCGTTTGCAGACATCCCTAATCTGTGCAATGTCCCCCTCAGGGTTGAGCAGGTTTTGCTCAGTGAACTGACATATCCACAGGTTGTTCTTTGGCAAAGTCCTGTCCCACTCCTGGGATTCTCGTGTCTTGACCCTAATTCTCAACATCAAAATAATCCAGGGTTCAGGAAAGGACTGTATGACTTGCAAAAGTAGAAACAAACAATACATATTTGTTGACATGAGAGCATAATAGGATAAGAAATGCAAGTAGTTAAGGTTAGGCAGTCTGGTTTTCTGTCTCAGCTCTGCTATCACGTCACTGGGTGTCCTTAGGCTACGTGTTTCATCTATCTCATCCTAATTGGTACAATCTGAATTTTTTTTATTTGGTTTATTTCTTGAACCTACTATGTGGCTCACATCAAGCCAGACTTTGGGTATCCACAGATGAATAAGACACAATTTTCTACCTCTAAGAGTATGGTAGGGAAGACAGATATATATATATATATATATATATATATATATATACATGCAATTTCTTTTAAAATATCTCTAATTTATGCATGCATCCACATTCAGACATAATTTTTCATAAATGCAAATATGTGGTCATTTACATACTTTTTAAGTCTTATTTTTTCCCCTTTTCACTTGGCTCCCTAGTATATGGATATACTAATGTATATCTCTCTGTATTTCATATTTTTCTCCTTGTTCATATAGCTCTATGAAAATATATAGGGTTCTTTTTAGTTATTGCATGGTCTATAAAAATAGAATCCTATTTTATATACTTTTCTGTAAATTACACTTCTCATTCAATGATACTATGTGGAACTCCTTCTAAGTCATCTGGTAGAGATCTAATTCTTTATTTTTAATAATAGAACTTTATGTTTTAGAGCAGCTATAGGTTTATAAAAAATAAGTAGAGGGTTCCCATATACTCCCTCATCCTCCCTCAGTTTCACCTGTTATTAATGTCTTGCATTGTGTGCTATATTTGTTACAACTGAGGAGCCAATATTGATATATTATTATTAACTCGAGTCCACAGTATACATTAGGGCTCAGTCCTTGTGGGTTTTGGCAAATGTATGATAGGTATCTACTATTATATTGGTGGATTTGACAAACGTTATGGGTCTTGACAAATGTATAATGACATGTATCCACCATTATGGTTCCATATAGAGTAGTTTCACTGCTGTAAAAATCTCCTATACCCTACCTATTCATCCCTCCCTTTACCCAAACTCCTGGCAAACACTGATCTTTTTAATGTCTTAATAGTTTTACCTTTTCCGGAAATTCATATGGTTGGAATCATGCAGTATGTATCTTTTTCAGATTGGCTTATTTCACTAAATAATATATATTTAAGTTTCCTCTATGTCTTTTTGTGGTTTGATAGATCATTTCTTTTTTATCACTAAATAATATTCTATTGTATACAATAGAAACTATAGTTTTTTTTATCCGTTCACGTATTGAAGGACATCTTAGTTGCTTCCAGGTTTTGGCAATTATGAATAAAACTGCTGTAAACATTGTGTATAGATTTTTGTATAGGCATAAATTTTCAACTTGTTCAGATAAATAGCAATGGGTTTGCTCATAAATTCATTTGACCTTGAAATGTTCTTTATGTAAACATTTTCATTTATGACTTCAATTTTTTATTAGATGTCAAATTATTCAGATTTTCTTTTCTCACTCTTGATAAATTGCTTTTCGAGGAATTGCTTTTTTCTATTTTTTAAAATTTATTGGCAAAAAAGTTAGTAATAGTCTCTTATAATCTTTTAATGTCTGTACAGCCTGTTGTGGTGTCCCATTTTTCATTTCTGATATTGATCATTTGTACTTTTTCCCCCCTCACTCTTACTAGGTTAGCAATTTTACTAGTCTTTTCAAAGAACTAATTTTTGGCTTTCTTAATATTTCTCCACTGTGTGTTTTCTCTGTTACTGCTCTTACCTTTATTATTTATTTTCTTCTAATTACTTTGGATTTAGTTTGATTTTCATCTCTAACTTCTTGAGATGGTTGTTTAAAATATCAATGATATATTAATATTTATTTTTATTTTATTATGTATTACTAGGTGGCTTTTAAAAAAATCTAAAGCACTTTACATTTTCATCATCAATAAAGTTAAACATGTCTTCACATTACCATCAGCAATAGAATCATGTATCTTTTAAATCTTTTGCCAGTAAGATGGGTATAAAGTGAAAATTTGTGTTTTCCTAAATAGGTGATCTTAACACATTATGGTACCTGCTAGGAATAATGATTGCTCAAAAAGTGGCACTTTGGCCCACTGTGGTCCTGGGGAAGGCTCTTTGGAGGAGGTAATGCCAGAGCTAAGTTATAGGCGAAGTCCAGAGGTATTTGTACTAGACGATCTCTAGGATACTTTCAAATTTCAAAATTCTAGGAATCTAGGTAGTGAATTATAAGATATGATAAAATTTGAGAATTATACAATCATACATCACAGTATCTATCATCTTGAGCTCCTATAGCAAGTGGCCAAATTATCAAGAATCTCAGAAGCCTGAAATGTCTGTTTTCTTTTATAGCAATGGAGGCATTCCTACACAGCTTCATATGACATCTATGATTTAAACAAAAGGTCAGTGACTTCCCCATAAAATCTATTAGGCTTTTCCACTGTAATTTTTTTTTTTAAAGGAAACCCCACTGTGAGTTATTGTTTTGGTAATGTTTCCTTTTATCTTTTTTCTAGGCAGCTGATTACTGAAAATAGAATTCCAAACAACACACAGTGGATCACATGGTCACCAGTGGGTCATAAATTGGTTAGTGAGTCTCTCCTGTTGTCAGAAAAATATTGACTCAAATCTTTCATACATAGAAGCCATTATACTAACCCTGATACAAAGCAGACATCTTAGGAAATTAGTATTTCATTGCAAAATACAGTGTTATTGCTTAAGAAAATATTTTACTAGCCTACAAGAATAAATATAATTCCTGAAAGTATCTATAAAGAATTTATTATTCACTGGGAAAATGCTCATCAAACTCTTAAGTTCTTGTTATCCGTTGTACTTACTTTTGGACCTACACTTGTTTTCTGCAAGTTTTGTGTCCTTCTGTTTCATCGTAGACATATTTTCGTGTTCTATGGTGCTATGAGAATGTTAGAAGTCCAAAATAAGGTAAATAAGAAGAGGGAATGTTATCTGCAGTTTAACTTCTCTCTTCCAGAATGCAACTGCATTCTATCTCCTCACTCTCCTAAGAAAGAAATGTGCAAGTTTATGTCATTCTGTAGAAGTGGTCAGTCTTTTAGGTCTTTGCATACACTTTAGCATCCAAATAGTAGTAGTTTTGAGCTTCTTATTTTTAGCATGTTAAGAATGGTTTTAGGATTATTTGGGGATTGTAGCCTGTATACTTATAATTTAAGAATGGGAGGGAAGGAGTAAATGACTATTTTGCTAGAATTGAATATCTTACTATGGTAATCATCATACTTGCATAGATAAGTGTTTTTAAAACTCTAGGATAAAATACATTGCAACATATTATTATTGATACTAATACTTCTTTCTTTTTTCATCTTTCTAGGCTTATGTTTGGAACAATGATATTTATGTTAAAGTTGAACCAAATTTATCAAGTCAGAGAATCACATGGACTGGGAAAGAAGATATAATATATAATGGAATAACTGACTGGGTTTATGAAGGTAAAGACTTTAAAGCTTTTTCAAATCAGAAAATCTATAATCTGTATGTATAATCTATATTTTTATTCTAAAAATAAAAATTTATTTAAAAGTGGGAAAATTCAATGAGATTCAAAATAAGTTGTATTTTTTCCCAAATTGTCATCAGATCTCTTTTAGAACTCATAGCATAAGATGTCTCATAGACCAAGAATTTCTTAACATTACCTACTGCTCCCCTGTCCTCATTGTCTCACAATACTCCTCTTGTCTTTGGTTTATTGCTACAAAAGGCCTTTCTTTGTGGCTACCTTTTCTGGCTTTACTGGGGCATAAAAGCCTCCAGATTAACATCAGATGTTTCTCTAACCAGACCTACATAACCCAGAAGTTACTGAGGAAAACTAAATACTCCCACAACATTTAAAAGATGGTAAAATACTGTCTACATTTTGAATAGTACAGGGGAAGAAAATGCCTATTTTATAGAGGATTTTATTTATTTCAATTTGGACAAATTACAATTTTCTGTTTTTAAAGAAGAAAAAATAATTAGAAAGGCCGTGGAAACGTGAGTAGAAAATAAGACTAAAAAAAAGTTAAAAAGAAATATTGTCTCCTTTAGGATAAAGAATTTTACATACTATTAGGAACACGTTTGAAAAACTTAGAAAATATTAGAAAAATATTTTTCATGTCCATAGTTACCAAGATAAAAGGCATTTTGAGGTTGTTCCAAACTGTTCACAAGGTTGCCTCATCCTTGTTAGAAAGACTCATTTTTATTTCAAACTATTATTTCTTCTTTGTAGCTAAAAAAAAAAAATAGTTTGTCTTTATGATTTAATTTTGGTTCTTACCCATGCCAAATCAGGTTCAATTAATTGATAAACATTATAACAACAACAACAGAAACATCGCATTAAAAGAAAGATAGAATTCCATGGCCTATAAATAAGTGTTTGATTAAAATTTATAATGAAAGTTACTAACACTAGTTACTTAGAGATTCTTTAACACTTGTTGTACAGCATGGCACAGCCTCTGGGCCCATCACCAAGAAGTGCCTCTTCCCAAAACTGTGACCCTCCCTCGGAAACGTCTGGCCCTTTCTAAGATAAAAAACACTGCTAACACTTTCATTTTTTTGGAAGTAGACGGTAGCCAGGGGGCTCTTGTTTTGCATGTTCACGACTAAGCCACTCATGAGCAGAATGACTTCATTGCTCCAGCTTGAGTTACTCCTCTCTAAAATCTTTCAGTCCTTAGAAGGAAATTATTGCATGGTCAATATGGAAAAAAACACGTTCTGCATTCAAAATAACCACTGCTTCAAAACATAGTACACTACCTACTACCTGTGCTTACAAGTCATTTTAAAAACCAAAACCTTGCTCAGATTGTATTGATTTCATGTAATTGTAGTTGTATAGACTAGAATCACTGGGTAAAAGGTAAAGGAATTAGGTATCAACTCAATATATGAAGAAATTCTTAGAGGAAACCTTGACTTGAGTCATAATGCCTAGGTTCTAGTTTTTTTCTTTTTTTTTTAAACAGAGTCTCACTCTGTTGCCCAGGCTAGAGTGCCGTGGCATCAGCCTAGCTCACAGCAACCTCAAACTCCTGTGCTGAAGCGATCCTCCTACCTCAGTCTCCTGAGTAGCTGGGACTACAGGCATGTGCCACCATGCCCAGCTAATTAGTTATCCAGCTAATTTTTTTCTATTTTTTTAGTAGAGATGGTGTCTTGCTCTTGGGCAAGGGGTCGCGAACTCGTGAGCTCAAACGATCTGCCTGCCTCGGCCTCCCAGAGTGCTAGGATTACAGGTGTGAGCCACCATGTCCTGCTGTAGGTTCTAGTTTTTATCTTAAGCAATTCACTTAATCTAAGCCTCAGTTTCCTTCTCTGTGAAATGGGCTATGAATAGACTTGCCTGGAGATCTTTGTGAAGACTATATTAGATGTGTTTTATAAATTCTAAATTGCTGCATAAATACACGTGTATAGATCAATGGTGCAGATATGAAGCAGTTAACGGAGCTGAGGCTGCCTAACCCATTTCTGTTACTAGAAATGCTGAAACAGAGGCAGGAAGGGGCAGTATAGCATGGAGATGAAAAGCATGAAGTCAAATCTGACATGTCTGGGTTGATTTTTGATGCTACCAATGATTAGCCATGTGACCCTAGGCAAATTGTTACCCTCTTTAGGCCTACCTCACTTTGTTCATCAGTACAACGGGTTGTTGTGAGGATTAACTGAGATAATACATGTTCATTGCTTATCAATGCTTGGCGCATAATTAGTATTCATCAAATGTCTACTGCTCATCACAATACTTATTACATTTATTATTGTAATTTTTATCATTGTTGTTAATATTAAAAATGAGTATTTGGAAGCAACTTGTAAAGAGGTGTCAGGCCTCAGAAAAGTAATTGGAATACATGATTTCCTAACTCTAAGATTCTAGTTTCTATGCTTTTGCTTTTACATTTACACTCTCACGAGACTTGTGGGATAAACAGGAGTCACCATCCCGTCGACTTGACTCTTCCGTTCCCAGTTGGTGAAAGAGTTTTCAACATATTAAGAGCCAGCGGTTGAATGTCTCATGAACAGACCTGGTAATAAACACAGAGAGGAGCTATCTTTACCAAAGATTGAGAAGGACCCCAATGATCTACTAGAAAGCAAGATCTTTTCTCTCAATTTCTTCCATCTTTGACCTTCTTTCTATACCCATCAGCATATACACCAGAGGAGGGTGTTAATCCAAGGGAGTTTTCAGCTTCTGGGCTGGGCAAGGAGATGTTTCTTAGTAGGGGTCTCATGGAGTTCCTTGCCATTCTAAATCCATCCTTCCCACACCTTGTTTGTGCCAAGAGTAGTAAACTCTGGGCACCATATTGGTTCGGTAGCCTGGAGCTACACACCACCCACCAGTACCCTGCGGGCTCAGTACAAACTGAGCCCAGTTGGGGAGAGTATGCTGGCATGTTGACTGTTTGAAAATTAGAAAGGAGAATCAGCCTCCTGTGTGAAATTTACTTTTAGTATGTTTTGAGGCATAAATTTAGAGGATTATAAGATAAAGAAAAAAATGTAGAGCTTATATTAAATATTGCATGCTAAAATATTCTAAAATGGTCCAACGGGTTACTTATTTTTACAATCCAGATATATCTTTGAAGATTTTATTTTTATTCATTTGTATTACTCTGATTTTGGAAGCCCAGCAAACGCAAAGTGGTTCATTAGTTGAACTCTACTGTAATTACTAAAGCTAATGAGAACAATATTTTGAATGCCAAAGCCAATTTATCAGCTACTTCTTGTAACAGAACAATTTATGTCTTTTTTCAGAGGAAGTCTTCAGTGCCTACTCCGCTCTGTGGTGGTCTCCAAACGGCACGTTTTTAGCATATGCCCAATTTAACGATACAGAAGTCCCACTTATTGAATACTCCTTCTACTCTGATGAGTCATTGCAGTACCCAAAGACTGTACGGGTTCCATATCCAAAGGTCTGTGCTCCTATTCGTATAATGGTTCCGTAATTTGATGGGAAGAGAATGGTTTCATTTAATCCCTTCCTGCTAATGAAAATATTGTCAGTCTCTCTTCAACAGCTTGCTGTGATTACTCTTGCTGAAGTCAACAGCATCTGGCAATTTTAAAGTATTTTTATTATCCCAGGAAAGAGTGTGATTTAAGGTTTTGTAATTTCTCCAAAAACTTTGAGGAATGACAAGCAGAAAAAAATGGGGAAAATGCTTTTGAAAGAGAAGGGGGAATGAAAATATTTGAATGGAGGAAAAGAGAGGCTGTAATTGAATCAGAAGCTCATCTCATTTGTAGAAGTTGGAATGTGCCCTAGATGAAGTTGAAAGCCTGGTTATATATCAGATCGTATTACTAATTAACAGGATACGCGACTAGTTTTAGTGGTTCTGTTATAGATTTGGCACTAATGTAAATTTCACAGGTCCTCCATTCGGAATAATAGTGTCATGTCTTGGTTTTCAAAGCTTTTCTCCCCTCCAAGATGCATGTTTATTCAAACTGAAGAGCTTTGTTATGCAGGGAAGCCAGGGAAGAGAGGGGGGTTTAGAAGGAAACTAGGGATTCTTCACCAGTACTGCAAGAATAGTGACCACAGTATAGGAATATCAAATAGTAAAGTGTTTTTGCTGTAAGCAGTTTGGAAAAAAGGGATTCTTATTTTTACCAGCTCACTCAATTTGCTTTATGAAGAGCTGCCATTTTAGGAAGACAGAGGAAGTTAAAAGAAAAAAAAGATCAGAGACTAAATATGGAGATGTGTTTTCAGTGGAATGTTATTTTTTGATGAGTGAAACTGGCAAAAAAAAAAAAAAACCATAAAATGTTCTCACTAAAAATATCATATTATTTCTAACTAATCTGTCAATTGAAGATCTATGTGTATATTTAAAAAGGTTTTATAGGTTCTGTCATAATATTGATTATAAAGCTCCAACATGGTGAACCTGAATTTGGAGTGGAAATGATGGCTTTCTAATTAGCATCACTGGCACTTGACTCAGGTTAACCTGATTTTTCTGGTGGATTGTGTCTTTGGAAGAGCCCAAGGTATTCTTCATAATCGACAGCCATCAAAGGCTTTTGGTCTTGTGGGGTCAGGGTATATTGCTAATAATAGAATTGATTTTAAGAAGTTTATTTTCACACCAAGTACATACATTATAAAGATAGAAACATTTATTACTTAAACAGAAGTGCTATGAACCTTCAAGTTTTATATGTAAATCACACATATATATGCACACACTATATACGTACACACACATACAGTTATATTATGTTTCACTTTGAACACGAAAAGGTTGCATTTGATGATTCTCCCTTAACATTCACTTTATTTATATTAAATTGTTTGAATGCATCTGATTGTTATAATTTATAGACATAATACAGACATTTTGTGCAGTTTTAAATTTGTGCAATAACACTATATTTTTTTTGTCAATACCAATTCTGTGGTTGTTTTTTCCTAGGCAGGAGCTGAGAATCCAACTGTAAAGTTCTTTGTTGTGAATACAGACTCTCTCAGCTCAGCCACCAATGCAACTTCCATGCAAATCACTGCTCCTGCTTCTGTGTTAATAGGGTAAGGCTCTTTTCTTGAATGCTCCGGTTGTGAACGGTTTCACACTTTCTAGGAGAGAACTTTTCAAAAGTGAATGGCAGAATCAATCTCGGCCTCCCATTGTGTCACCCCCAGTCACCCCCAGGGACAGTCAGTCCTTCCTTCATTCTGCAGCTCTTTGTCGAGCACCTGCGTGCTGTGTTCAGGCTGGGCACACCTCTGGTGATGGGAATGCACAGTGGACAGAGCACCAGCGACCCTGATGTCTTAGAAGCTGGAGCTCAAATGGGGGGAGGTGCACAATCACCAGATAAGCAAAGGACAGTAGAAAATGCCAGGCAGTGGCAAATGTGGTGAGGAGAACCCAAGCAGGGCAAAAGTGATGGGGCTGGTGGGGGAGGGAGTCAGGGGAGGCGTCTCTGACAAGATGACCTGGGAGCAGTGATGTGAAGAAAGGGAGGACTGTCCACATGGTGTCCGGGGCACGATATGGCTCAGAGGAAGAGCAAGTGCAAAGGCCCTGCAGAGGGGATGTGCTTGGGGCACTGGAGGAACCGCAAGCAGGCCAGGGTGGCTGGAGCCTTTTGGGTGAAGAAGAGAGTGGAGAAGATAGAGGTCAGATCCCACAGAGCTTTGTTAAGAGTTAGAAAAATTTAGGGAAACGGTGGATTAAATTTGGGGAGCCCCCAAGTCATCTTTGGCCCCAAGATGTCACTTGCTTAAATAACTCTTAGTGATTTGAAATTTTGCCTTGGAGCACCTTCAGCCCCTTCTTTATCTTCCTGCAAAGAAGGCACTGTACTGGGTGCAATGTGTGGCTATCACGCAGCTCTTCATTCATTCATTCATTCATTCATTTGTGTTAACTTTTGCTGGTTTTGTGGTGGTTCCTAGGTAACAGCTAGCGTGCACTGAGCACTCACTGTGAGCCAGAGACAGGGCATGACTGCTGGCTTTATCTTAAGACTCTTTAACTCTCTGTTTGCAACAGCGATTACAATACACCTGTTTTACAGATAAGACGATGAGGCCTAGAGGTTAAGAAAATGATCACTTAGGAGTCTATATTCAAACTTGACTTTCTGACTTGAAAGCAAGAACTATTAAACACTCTGCTGTATACCTCCCTCTGAGTGAATACAGCTGGTGCCCTGGGATTCCTGAAGGTACCATGAAAGCAGTATGGGGTGTCCATTTTCTCTGGGGTTGCATTAACAGCATCAGGCCCGCCGTGGGCTGTGCTCTGCGTTTAGTAACTCATTACCTTAGTTAGAAATATCTGTATTGACCTGTTCATTCTGGGGGACAATTATTAGTAAATTAAAAATAAACATTTTCCCGTGTTTGTCCCGTGGTGTAAAAATTTGCCCAAAGGCTTTTTAAATCTGCCATTTGGTTCCATCCGTCACCTCTTCAATCAACACTGGCTGAGCAGCCTCTCTTTATACTCCCAAGTGTCCACAGGAAGCCTGTGCCCTTGTAGCGCTTGTCATCGGGTACCAGGGGTCCTCAAACTTTTTAAACAGGGGGCCAGTTCACTGTCCCTCAGACCGTTGGAGGGCCAGACTATGGTTTAAAAAAAAAAACTATGAACAAATTCCTATGCACACTGCACATATCTTATTTTGAAGTAAAAAAACAAGCGGGCAAAAACACCCACATGTGGCCCGCGGGCCGTAGTTTGAGGATGCCTGATAGACAGTAGAAAACATTATGATAAATGCCCCCAAGAGTGATATGATAGAGGTATAAGCAACAGGATGGAGGCATCAGAGGATGAGATCGGAGAAAGCCTCGAGTGGAACGTGCACACTGGGCAGGTGAGCTGTAGCAGGGCGTGGTCGGGACGAGGGCCACTGGGGTGGGACCCACAGAGCACGGGAATGCACGGGGCCACCCAGGAAAGGAACGGCACAGCCTGGCGGGGCCTCTTGGCCTGGAACCAGTTATCTGTCTGCAGGGAGAATGAGACATGAGCGCCTGATCTGAAAAATATTCTGTCTGAAACGGACTTTAGACCTCATGAAAGGTTTATAAAAGTTTTTAAGACCCAGAAGCCTTTGTTCAAGTGAGACATAACGCAGAAATTAGTGCAAGGCCATAAAACAAATGGAAGATTACTGCTCAGGTTGGGCAAACCAAGTCCTTGCCCCTCCAACCCCCAGGAGTCCCGGGAGATGAGAGGGAGCCTGGAGGGGCTCCAGAACCCAGTCAGAACACCACCGTGAGGCATGGACGAGACAGTGGGCTCAGAGAGGTAAAATCATTTGTTCAGGGTCACACAGCAAGTCATTATGAAGCTGGGAATGGGACAGAGGCCTGGGCCTGCCAGACCAGACTATTTGAATAATTGAGTTAAAATGTGTCGAGTGCTGCCTACGGCTGGGACCGTGCTGGATTCTGCCCCTTCCGTCTCATTGATTCCCCACAAGCGCCCCGTGGTGTCTTCTTCACAGGCCATTTTACAGATGAAGAGGCGAAGTGTTTCCCACGTAGAAATCATTTACCAAGGCACAGTTGTGAAGTGCTTGGCTTGGGAAACTTAAGCAATTCTCAGGACCTATTTTTAGCCCTGTGCGAATTCGTCATTAAGTCTTTGTTCTTTGTAGTTCTCGAAGCTGCACTTGTGGTGGGGATCCTCACTCACTGTGGGTATTTTGCATGGGATTTATGTTACCAAAGAACCTTTTTTGGAAACGCCACAGGAACGTGTTGTCTAGGGAACTTAAAACATACCCCTGGTCTCTGTTAATACCAGTAAGATTGCAATTTTTCTAAAACTAGACTACTAGTTTTCTAAAACTAGTTTTAGAGGGTCTAGTTTTAGAAAACTAGACCCTCTCTGGGGAGAACATTCTAGTACGTGGTGGTGCACTGTTTTCTGTCTTCATGCAAAGATCCAGCAGGGCCATGTCAATCCAGCGAGTCCTCACTCTTAGTAAATCACCCAGCCCCTTGGCTGTTACCTGGTAAAGCGCTGGTTTCTGGAGTGGGAAGCCTGGCCGGGGCCAGCACCCGTCCTCCCTCCTCTGCCCATGTTACCCTGGTGAATTTTCCTGCAAGGCCATGTGCTTTGCCACAGAATCTCTAGCAAGTGAAATCCTACAGGAGGATGAAGCTGGTTTGCGAATTTGCTAGGAGTGAACAGCAATGGGTAGAGATGGGCGGAGCGCTGCCTCTCTGACAGTGAGAAGGACAGAGAGGCCACCTTTCCAGCCACCCAGGCTTAAACCTGAACCAGGGCAAGCTCCCTGCCACCTTCCTTGATTAAGCACTAAAGTTGATCAGATCTGTAAAGCTGTAATTTGGATTGACTACTCAAAATGGGAATTTGAGAGCTCAAAATATTTGAGAGAAGATAGCATATAATGTAAAATTATAAATCTCCTGTTTTATTTAGAACAGTGCTTTCATTGCTGGCTGAAATAAGACAAGTTCTACAGGGTAGGGGCCAGTCTTACAACAGTATCTCCAGTGCTGAGCAGGGTATCTGGGACATAGCAGGTGCCCCACCAATATCTGTAGGACAAACTAATAGATAAGTGGATGGATGGACGGGATGGTGAATGAGATGGGTTATCCAGGGAACTTTGTGTGCGTTGAACAGGAGTTCACGTAGCCAGCACCAAGGATGACCTCCAAAATGACCTTGCATTGCAGTCCCTCTTTTCTACCTCTTCCCAGCCACCTGCAGATTTTGCAGCCTGAAGCTAAAGGAGGCCAGGAGAGGGAGGGCACGTTCTACTGAGTGACCCCACCCGACATCTGCTGCATGGTTCTAGGGGCCCATCGCACCCAAATCATTACCTGCCCCACTCCTGTTCTCTCCGCTTCTGAGGGAAACGATAGAGAAAGACATGCTATGTCCCTTCTGAACAGTTGATGACCCCTAGTCTATAAAGCAGGGGCATCGGGGCCTGAAGCTTTCACATGACAGGTAGATAAACTGGAGGCTAGAGACACCTGCAAGAATGGAGGCGGACTAGGGCTCCAAGGCCACTGGTGCCGCACCCCTCAGATCTGCTCCATCTCGCCCCACCCATTCCTCTCTGCAGCGATCTGTCAGCAACCCGGGAGGGTTGGCATCTCCACTAGAGTAGAGGGTGGCATGGAGCCCACGGGCAGCCCTGGCAGTATGCCCACTTCCTCGGATGATTCACTGAATTAATCACTCCACGGTTGCAGTTGCTCTTAGTAGCATTTTTCCCTCCACTATTATTTCTAGTTAGTAATGCATACCTTAATTTTAAGTGTCTTTAATGTATCAAAAGAAACATTTACACAAATTAAGGGAATTAATAGTACTCAACAGTTATTTATTAAATGCTTCCTGTTTACAAGGCATTGTTTTAGGACAGGCAGCCACTTTGCAGGGGGATTCCCTGTAGCATGATTTTTCAAAAGCCAATCTCTTTCAGTGCATTTGAATATGATTTGCTTTATAAAATTCAGTTTACACACACAACTCTCTAGGAACAAATAAATTTCATTGAGTAAAGAATTTTATGCTGAAAAGAAGCAAGACGGTGAAGCTAGCTAGCAACGTTTCCCAAAGGGATGGGTGGAGGTTCTACAGAGGCAGCAAGTACAAACAGGAAGTTCAACTGCCAACTGCTTGATTTGAATCCTGGCTTCAACAGTTGGGTGATGTTGGGCAAGTTACTTAACCTCACTGCACTTACATTTCTTTGTTTGCAAAATGTGAGCTACAGCAGTACCCACCTCATAGGGTGGGCATGAGCTTTATGTCAAGCTCTTGGAATAGTTCCTGGCACATAGTAGACTCCACATGGGTGTGAACTCATATTATGTCCAGAAATTACTCCATTGCTTTGGTATTAAAATTAGCCATATTGCCCTTGGACTAGGCCAGTTCCAGAAGTTAGAAGAGAGCTGGTTCCGAGTGTCTATCCTGAGACAAGCAGTATGGGCTCTCAGGAAGTTCCCTTGTCCACCCTCCCCCGACCGTTACTTATTTGCGTGTCTGTTTCTGCAGATAAAATGAGCATGCGGTGTGCAAAGTGTAGATGATAATCTTGCTTGTTAGATTTTTCTGATCTGAAATGGGGACTGAAGCTTTTTAGTAAAAAGTGCAATTACCTCTTGGTTTAAATCTTTGACTCTTAGACATCTCAGGCTGGCATGATCTTGGCTCAGGGCCGTGATGGAATGGAAGTATGTTTATAAGAAAATTCAAAAATTCCTGTCTATTCTGCTGGTGACCTGCCTTTGCTGAGCGTGCACAGGGTCCAGAGTACACCGTGGGCCACGGGGGAGGACAAAGGCAGTGCAGGGTCCAGGTTCTTTAGCCTTTGATCCAGAAATGGGCAGGGTTAGACAGCTGATGCACGTGAGTTTCCTGGCCGACTTCCCAAATTCCGTTCCTCAGTGTTTTCAAATGGGGAAAAGTTGCTTTTATATTGCTGATTTCTGAACCTGAGGTATAATTTTTAACTTTTAGCAGGGAAAGCTACTTAGTACTGGCTGACCCAGTGATCATGGCAAAGAGTTTTCTTCCTCCATCACCTGCCCCTTCTCCCTACCAAACACTTTTGAAAAGGGGAAGGCTATTTCTAGAGCCCAGGTTACTAATCTTTGCCCATGGAACCCTGGGATACTGTGTGCACGTGATTGGAGAGGCTTTTTCCCCCTAAAGTGTGGCACATACTTTTCGTCAGATTTTCCAAAAAGGTTTCTGACCTAAAAAAGCAACTACTGGTACAGAACGGGGTTAGCACACCAGAGCCTGTGGCCAAATGCAGTGCACTGCCTGTTTTCATATAGTCCACATATAAGAACGATTTTTACATTTTTAAATGGTTGCCAACAAAAATCAAAAGAAGAATAATATTTCATGGTGCATGCAAATTATATGAAATACAAATTTTAGCTTTTCAGTGGAGCACAGCCACACTCATTTAAGTATGGTCTGTGGCTGCTCTCGTGCTAGGAAGGCCGGGGTGAGCAGTGTGGCAGATTATTTGTGGACCACAGAGCTTCAACTATTTACTATCTGTCCCTTACCTGAAAAAGTTTTCCAATCCCTGGTCTGGAAAGCTAATTTCATAAGGCTTCATTTTCTCTGTTGTTTTTCATTCTTCCATGTTCTTTACAAGGATTTATTACCCGTCCTGGGTAAGATTTATTCACCTTTCTGTTTTCTCATTCAAGGCTTCTGCATTGCACACATGCAGGAGAGTCAGGCCAGGTGAGGCACGCTGGCTCCCGGGCACGCAAAGAGGCATTCGCGCTCTCGGACCCTGCAGCCTGGCAGCCTCGGACCCATGAGCGCCAGGCACGGGGGGAGAGTGCAGAAGGAGGGGGTTTCCAAGAAGACATCGTGGACAGGGGACATTTAAGCTAAGACCTAAAGATGTTGGAGTACGGCAGTCATTCTAGACTGAGGACAAGGTTGAATAAAGAGGGGGCAGCCGGGACACCTCACGGGGTGTTCATGAGAACACCGGCCACCCAGACTAGATGGTGTGGGTCTCTTACGAAGCGTGAAAAAGGGCTACGTGGAAGGAGGCCCTATTTGTGGAAATGTGGCGCTCTGCGGCTGGGAGAAGGGGTTTGTTCTTCTTTCAGTACCTGTGCCCTGCAGTGGGGACAGCGTGGAGGCCCAGGCATCACTGGGCACATAACACATTAAGTGTCCCCAGCTGTAAACGGGGGGATAATAAAACCGTGAGGGGTTTAAAGTGCTTTATCCAGCACCTGACGCATCCCGAGTGCTCAGTAAATATTTGTCTTCCTACTAAGCATCTGTGAAGGGAGTGGAGACAGGAGTTGACCTATGGATCCTGCGGAAGGACAGAGCTATGTAAGCCATGAAAGCCAAGAGAGGATGTTTTTCCTTTTCTTCAGGGCTTCATTCCACAGAAATGTAGTGAGTGTCTGTTTTGAGCCAGGCATTCTGCTGGGTTCTGGGGACACTCTGTGAATGTGGGCCCTGCCTCAAAAAGCTCAAAGTCAAGCAAGGAGAGCAGTGACACAAGGAGGGGCAGCCCCTGGCCAGAAGGGACGAGCAAGGGGAGCCTGTTAGAGCATTGGGGGGTCGAGGGGGAAGGTGTGGCTATCGGACCAGGTGGGAAGAGGGGGATGAACAGACTCTGAGAAAAGGAGCCAGGCCTTGCTCAGACACGGGAGAGAGGAGTGATTTATGAACAGTTGTCCAAAATCACCCTGGGGGAAGAGGGCGGGGGAACAAAAAACCAAACTATCCGGAGCAAGTAATGCTGGGGAGGCTAGCAGAAAAGTGAATTGTGAATTCCGTGCATTTCACTATAAATCAGAAGGTGGTTCCAAAAAATTTTAAAGGTATGTGTTGGAGGAGGATACACTGCCAGAAATATCTCTATTTATATAAATTTATGTTAAAATACCACAGGGTTTCTCAATTTCTTCACTTGGTTCATGTTTTGACTCTTGAGAAGGTGTCTTTTTAGAATATAATTCTTTGATTTTCAAAGTTGTGGAGGTGTGAGTCAATTTTTTTTTTTACCCATTTGAAAGTGAAGTTGAGAAAAAGGTCAGCTGTAATTTCACCCTAATATGAAGAATTTTCTGGAGAAGCACGTCAAATTACCGGAAATACTCACATTTCAGCCAGCCAGTGTCCACGTCCTCATTGTGCTTTCCCTTAAGACAGGAGAAAGGAGATGGGAAAACATCACCCTTGACTCCCTGGCACCTGCAAAGGCTGAGTGGAGGATTGATAAATCCTGAGCACATGGTTTGAGTCACGTATGCTAAGCCACCCTAGGGTGTTGGTGCTGCTTTTCCTGATGGATATATTTTAATTTCCATTCAAAATTAAATTGTACTTTGAACTTTAAGAAAGGTAAACTATTATGGTATTAAATGGTTTTATTAACCATTTAAAATTCTATTTCACATTAAGATGGATTTCTTTTCACTGAGTAAAATGTCTGTTTTTACCAAGGCCTGGCAAGTCATATTAATTAATATTCTCTCCTCTCTCTCTCTCTCGCTCTCTTCTCCTTCCTTCCTTCCTTCCTTCCTTCCTTCCTTCCTTCCTTCCTTCCTTCCTTCCTTCCTTCCTTCCTTCCTTCCTTCCTTCCTTCCCTCCTTCCTTCCTTCTCCCTTCTTTCCAGGGATCACTACTTGTGTGATGTGACATGGGTAGCACCAGAAAGGATTTCTCTGCAGTGGCTCAGGAGGATTCAGAACTATTCGGTCATGGATATTTGTGACTATGATAAGTCCAGTGGAAGATGGAATTGCTTAGTGGTGAGATTGAATGGGGATGTTCTGCTTCTAAAGCAACATGTTATTGGAGGGCTCTGTAAAGTCAGGGACAGTAAAGGTTGGGAGTGAGGTTCCACCCTCACTCCCTACTCACGCTGTTGTAGTTATGGACACTGTCCCTTGGGAAGGAGAGAGACGGTGACTGGAAACCCAGGAGATAGAATCCAATGTCCACATTTAGAAAATCAAAGAGGACCAGCAGCTGCAAGGTCAAGGAACCATGTTTGCATAGAGAACATGTATGGGGTGGGGGATGATGGTCTGAGTACATGTCAAAAGAAGGAAAAATCAAGAGGCCACACATCCATTACCATTTCTGTGACTATCTTTAAGCAGGAAACAGCTGTAGGTAAGTACCAGTCTGAGAGGTTGCCAACACTGAGGCCAATTCCGTGTTACTCTAACTTTGAGATGTGGGGGTGTTTCTAGCCAGGAAACCACAAGGCCAGCCAGAGTTAGGGATTGAAGTTACAGCCCTCTTGGGAGCCAGCAGCCTCAGGAGGGATAGAGAGATTTGCTGGTATATGCCAAGGACACCTTTACAAGCCTCCTTTTCTGGTCACGGGCCCTGTGCCTACACATCACCTTTCCCTGCTCCCGTCCTGGCTGGGCACAGGGCAGATTCGAGCCTCAGAGAGCTTGAGCTCCTCGTATCTTGATTCACTTCTTCATTTATTTATGCAACAAACCTTGAATGCCTATTATGTTCCAAGCTCTATGCTAAGCTATGGATATTAAAAAAATGAGTTAGACAGCATGCCTGTCCCCAAAATGTTTCTGTTCTAGTAGGGAATGCCATTATGAAAATAATTCCCAACAGCTGCCATTTATTTAAAATTTACAGTACTCTAGGCACTGTGGAGACTGAGGGTTGACAAGTTTAGGGAGTTTGTTCAGGTCGTAGGACACAGCCAGAACTCAAACTGCAGAACCCAGCTCTTTGCTTCCTGCCAATCAAATCTCCATAATGTCAGGGTTGTGCCATGAAAGGGCTTAATCAAGGTACAGAGGGAATGTGGGGTGAAAGAAGGTGATCCGCCCTACTGGAGACAGGCATGTGGGGCAAGGAGATGACATGGAGAGCTATGGAGCAGCCTGGAATAGGTCGAGGGTGCTGGGCAGATAAGGGCTAGAGGCCCCCAGGAGTACAGGGCTGTGCAAGGGCTTGGGACATGCAGGGACTGTGAGTTGGGGGAAACACAGTGGGGGGACAGTGGCTAGAGGCCCCGGTGAAGTCTCAGATGCCATTCCAGGAGTGTGGACTTACCTGGTGAGACGTGGGGAGCTGTTTGAAGGTTTTAAGGAGAGAATCATAATGAGATAGAACTGTCTGTTGCTACCTGAGGTCAGCCGGGGACTAGGCAGGGTGGAGAGTAGACCGGAAGGAGGGAATAGCAGCCAGATCTCCAACAAGGACGTGGTGGCAGCGGACCAAGGGAAACGTGCGAGGACACGAACAAAGGTGGTATCGGTGGAGATGGGCAGAGAAATCAACGAACTAAGCCACGGGGGCGGAGGGGAGGGGACTGGGGAAAGTGCAGGCATCTAGAATGACCCCCAGGTCTCTGGCTTGGGTGAATAGGTGCCACTAACGAGGAGAAGCATGAAGGAGTAGAACAGGCTGGTGGGATGGAGGAAAGAGAAGGAAATTCTCTTCTGTTCTGAGCATGTTGGATTTAAAATGCCAGAGGAACTTCCTGGACAGTGTGTGGGTATGGACCTGGGACAGAGCTCCTAAGCAAGATAGGTAAATGATCTATAATGTAATTACATGAAAAATATTAACATAAAGAAAAATACACGAATGGGTACTTTTCAAGTATTTTATTACAATTATAATTTTGTTTATATTACCACAAGTTATGGCTAAAGAATCGATTTTATCATCTACTTCTCTCTGAAATGCTATCATTGAATTTTTTCCTTCCTAGGCATGGCAGCACATTGAAAAGAGTACTACCGGCTGGGTTGGAAGGGTAAGAATTAAGACTTAACGGGATTTTATGGATGATGGGTCAGCTACTCAGCTATTTAATATGTAGCTACTCCAAACTTGGGCTCTGCATGATTTGTTATTAATAGCAATATTAATTGACCTAGTTCTCAAAATATTTAAATGCTCCCTGTAGAGATATCTTTCTATGGAGAACATATAACATAAGCAGTTGGAAAAAGTAAGGGAACACGTGGAAAATCAAGAGCAGAGCAGACAAAACAAAACACATACTCTGGGCAAGTTGTAGCTCCCAGCAAGTTAAAAAGCAACCACTGCTGAACATTGGCCAAGATATTGAATGTGCTTGTTGACCTCATCTTTGAAGTTATGTGCGTTAAAGGCAGAAAACACGGTTTCTGTCCCCAGCCTGCACAAATGCCTATGGACATGTGACTGCAACCTGCGGCCACTTGGCAGCCACCCTACCACGCTCACTGTGTACCTTTCTTAGGAGGAAATCATACTGATGTGGGCTCACACTTTATTAGGCAGCCAGATGCATGCGGAGCTTTATCCAGGAAAGCACAGTGACCCTCAGAGACTTCTGCTTCTCGATCCTACTGCGTTAAGTACATAATGCACAGAAGAACCAACCACATTGCTACAAGACCATGCGATGAATCCAGCTGATGAAAGAACTCCAGCCACCACGACAACTCGCATAGAAGATGAGGAATCAATCTCACCTCATTTTTATGACCACTTCTATTAAGCCCCTTTTTCAAGGGAAACAAAGTGACTCAAAAAAAAAAAATGTAAAGATTTCACTTCTCCTGGGTCATAGAGGTAAGGCCCCCAGTCCAGGAAGACGACCCCGTCCAGCTGGGCTCGGAGCTCCGGCAGCATTCACACGTCCTTTTTCTTCAGGCATTGATTGGGCAGAGGGGAGAGGTTTGCCAACATGAAAAGTGGTTTCCTCCATGGCAAGAGACATGCTACACTTCCTCACGACTCTTTGAAAAAAATATGTTTTTTCCTCTCTGTATTTAACCAGACAGATGCCACTTTTCACACATTTCTACTAGGCACAACTCCATCCAGGGGAAACAGGGAAATGTATTAAAAAGATAAGGCTGTGAACACAGGTCTAGAGAGGGGAATGTGTTTCGGAGCTCTGTAATGAGAACACCAAGTGTACCGCACGCCTCAGCTTGCTCCATAAATGAATTCGCTTTAAATCACTAAATAGAAGAGGGAAGCATTTTTCTTCTTTCCCAAAATGGGAGCTGATGAGAGAGGAAACATCGAGGGTGAAGTGTACCAACAATTTTAAAAGACCATCTCCTACCTGCTCTCAAATGTAGCTAGGAAATCGAAATCATAAAGCAATATATTCCTTTCAGGCTGGGGTAGACGCTCTTCTACTTAAACTGCGTTATGCTCTGAGTACTATCTTTTATTGAACTGTAAACAAATGGAAATTTTGGTCTATAGTTCTATGCAATTTTTTTTTTTTTTTGTAAATTATTGACCATGCTTAACACAATGAAAAGGCTTACAATAAAAATAACTATATAAATGTTTCTGTATGAAATATACAACAGACATTCCTTATGGTATCTGGTCCAGAAATGGTTAAATACTGCCTAACTCTGACTTTCAAGAAGAAATTATGTGTTAAAAAACAGGAAAGAAAAATGCCCCCAAATTCCAAACCACCTCCAACCTGAGATAGTCAAAAATAACATCTGTTTCAAGAAAGCACATTAGAGACATTGAGGAAATTTACTCATTGAAACTGAAAGGTTAATGTTGTTTTCCAGGCACGTAGAGGCAGAAGTCATAGTTATCCTCCACAGAGAGAAGGTGCCCCAAAGAACAGTAGCCACTTCTATGTACTGAGTGTTCTCTATAAGCCACTTTATGTGCATTCTCTTGTTTACTCCTCGCAGAATTTACCTATGAGTTTGATCTTTTTGTGCACATTTTATAGAAAGAGGATTTTCCTTTTCAGATACTCTAGTTTCATTCAGCAAGTAAATGAAGCATGCATTTTTGAGCATAGGTGTTAGGGAGGACTTTCTAAAACTAAAGTTGGTACTGAGATGAGACTAATGTGCTTTAATGCTTTTTTTTTGTTATCTCCTATTTTCTAGTTCAAGCCTTCAGAACCTCATTTTACCTCTGATGGTAACAGCTTCTACAAGATCATGAGCAATGAAGAGGGTTACAAACACATTTGCCATTCCCAGATAGATAAAGACGTGAGTATTCTTACATAATTTATTTCAAGTTGACCTTTTTTTTTTTTTTTTGAAACTAACTTGAAGTGGAAATCATTTAGTAAAGTTGATCAATGTGTGCGAACAATCAGACTGATTCAGATTCCTCACTGGTATATGTAGTAAGGTGGAATGGGCTGGGGAGTCCCAACAAGAAAGCCTGAGGTTATTTGAATGTCTGATATAAATGATTTAATCTTCCACTTAACTTTGATTAGAAGGAAAGTCTAATAAATACCTTTTTTAAAACCCTGTCAGGCCTGCACATTTATTACAAAAGGAGCTTGGGAAGTCATCGGGATAGAAGCTCTTACCAGCGATTATCTGTGAGCATCCTAATAATCTACGGGATATAAACCTGCTTGTCATAATCATGCCCTCGTTGCCCAGAAGGAGGGAAAAATCTCCTACAAATGAAGAGTAGTCTCTTTGGAATGTGTTCAATACTTTTTTCTTTTTAACATACGGAAGCCTTAATGATTTTCACATATGCTTAGCAGATTTGATACCATGCCACCAAGCAGCTCTACCTCTTGCTCTTACCTGCTTTACATTACAAGAGCTGAAGCCTCTTTTACTTGAACGTCGTGGAACACTGAACTAGCAATCGGGCATTTTGTGAAATTTCAGCTGGCACGGATTTTTTGAAAGGCTTGGAAAGGCAGTTTTATCTGTCCATGTCTCGGCCTTACTCTTTGGAAAATGGAAAGCTTTGCAGAAGCTGTCAACCGCCACAGATGAGTTAGTGGGAAAGAGAGTGTTATTTTTCATTAGAATCTTGGGCACTTTTATGATCCTTTATTGGTCTCACCACAGAGAAATTCTGCCACTGCCCGAAGTAGTTTTTGAAGACCCTCTTTAGAAGTGGCTCTGCCGCTCTCAGAAAGATGGGGCTCCTGCCATCTGGTAGCTTATGTTATAAGACAGAAAATACAGAAAACAGGATTGATAAATGGGGTCTTGATTTCAGGCTAGTTGTCCAGTTATATTTTTCTTACAAAAAGCTTCTTTTGAGCTTTTACTTGTCACTTTAATTAAGGAAGAACTCTCTGGTTTCATATATTTCAGTCTGTTAAAAAAATGCATGATTTCTATTAACATATAGAAAATCTCTTCTATGTAAAGATGATGGAGAAAAATGGCTTCTTGGGGGGGCGGTAAGGGGCAGGGGAGCAATGACAGGAGACCATGCATTGTGTGCACACTGGGCTTCGTGTTGCAGTTCAGTAGCATGTACCCAACTTTTCAAAAAATCATAATTAATGTGTATTTCATTTGTTTTCCTTCTAGATACTACATTAGTAATGAATATAAAGGAATGCCAGGAGGAAGAAATCTTTATAAGTAAGAGCTCTCTGTCACATTGTTGACTTGAGTCTTTTTAGCTGATAAACAATTTCTGTACTTTTTTTTTGTTTTTTGCCTTGTCCTAACTAATAGTAAACTGGGATTGCTCTTGAGCACTTTTATACCTTCATAAATCAATCTGCATGTCAACAAAAGAGAATGGCATTATTAGATGTTTTGTCATACTTCCAAACAATAGGAGGTTTGAGGTTATTATTAATTCAATGTATATATTTCACAATAAAAGAAAGCATTTTGAGGATTGCTCTGGCATTCTGCTATCTTTGAAACTAGAATATGGCATTATTCAATTCTTTCCTTTCATTTATCCTTTCATCAAGTACTTAATTTCCACTGTTGGTTTTGCAGAATCCAACTTAATGACTACACAAAAGTGACATGTGTTAGTTGTGAGCTGCATCCAGAAAGGTGTCAATACTATTCTGTGTCATTTAGTAAGGAGGCAAAGTATTATCAGCTGAGATGTTCAGGTGAGTCTGAGCTGCCTGGGAGGGGGGCAGTAGTCGCGCTAACTCCCTCGTCTGTCCATCTGAAGCAGCTCCCTCCTTTCCTTTTGAACTTGAGGAGCTCTTGAAATCACTTAAGTCCTCTTCTCTCTACTCACATTTAAGTGGTGAGTTTAAACTACCTTTTCTTCCCCTTCTACCTGAAAGACTTGCATAGCTTGCTTTAGACTGAACATACATATGGACGCATGCGCGCGCGCACACACACACACACACACACACACACACACAGCCCTTATGCATAACAGGAGCACTTCCTCCTTAAATACATATTTTGGGGTTTTAAATTATTATTTTATGCACTTGTCCCTTTAAATGAGACGATGTATGTGGCTGATGCCTGTCACTCAACATGCCACTGCTCTATCTTCTGTTGCTATTATTTATTATGAATGGAGGACCCAGAGCAGGGAGAGGCAAAGTGACTTATGCAGGTCACACAGCTAGTTACAGGCACAATAGGACTCAAACACAGGCCTCTGCCTCCCAAGCCCTCCCTTTGAAACACTGCCCTAGGTTACTTCTCAAAATGAGAGAAAGACTCTGGATATTCTAAAAAAGAACTGACAATAGCAAAAGAAAAAAAAAGTTTTTAAAACCAGTTATCTGAATCTTTCTTCTTAATTGTTATGTTCCTTTACAGTTCTTTACTATGGCTGCTTTTAGACATTGTTTTTTTGGGCATGTGTTTTTATACTAGGCACTGCATTAAAAGCTTTATAATCTTTAAGAAAGCTCTATAAAGTAGAGATTATTATCTTCATTTTATATGTGGAGGACACTAAAACATAGATATGTCTTCCTAAGTCACACAGCAAGTAAGCCAGGATTCAAACCCAGGTCTGTATAGTGCCTGCGCTGTGGTTCCAATCAAGTGTAGAAATTAATATTATCACCCAAATGCATCAAAATTAAATTGCTCACAAAATAGCTTTTCTATACATTACCTTCCACTCTGCAACTACCACAGTTGGGATAAATAGTGACGATATGGGCTTGTGAGAAAAACACTTTTGCATGCCAGAAAGGAATCGCTTATCCAAGTCAGGCACCGTGCAGATGTGCCGCCTGGCTCGGGGACTCCGGAGTGGGAGCAGCAGGGGAAACCCGCCCCTCCCCGGAGGCCGGCGCCAGGGCTCCCCGACTGAGGCAGGGCAGGGCTGTGTGGTCATCTGGGATCACAGATACAGAGTTGGGGAAGGATGGCAGCTGCACTTCACCTCGCCGATGAGGAAACTGGGCTCAGAGATGAGAAGGTGCCCAAGGCACCTAGCAGGGCCGAGGTTCATTTCCCACTTCATTCTACTAAACCCTGTGCCTTCCCAGTAATATTTCTTACACTCAAAGTGTAATTATTTTAGGGGAAAAAAAAAAGGAAAAACAACTAACATTTCTTAAGCTTCTTATCCATAATGATATTAAGTATATGTTCCATCAAAGTTAAATGGTAACAAATGATATTTTTGAAAAGACATAATATACTGTTGTTTTTTTTAATACTCATCTAAAACATATTTTTCCCTGATTATGTTAACAGGCCCTGGTCTGCCCCTCTATACCCTGCATCGCAGCTCAAATGATACAGGTATTTTCTCATTTTTTTCCTTTATTTGCTTTCAGGAAGGTGCATGTGAATAATGCAAGTGCATAGCATTGTGTGATTTTCCTTGGCTTTAGAGTGTCTTGACAATATCTCGAATACAAGGCTTAGAACCTGAAGTATGTTTAGTCCCATCAGTGAATTTTGTGTTTGCTCATTACTGCATTGCAGAAGCCAAATTCATCACACTGTAATGAATTACTGCTGTCTCCTGTATTTGTTTAGAACTGAGAGTCCTGGAAGACAATTCGGCTTTGGATAAAATGCTGCAGAATATCCAAATGCCCTCAAAAAAACTGGACTTTATTATTTTGAATGAAACAAGTAAGTTAAATTCCTCCTGGAATAGTACTTGTCATGAAAAAAACAAATAAGCTATAACATATGTGATCATTTGATCTGAAAGTATGCATTTTATATTATATATAAATCTAATTTAGAAGCCTATTTTTCATGAAATATTCTGTCACATTCTTTTGTCTTAAAATATAGTACCATTCTAGGTAAAATTTGTTCTGTCAAGAGGAAAGGTATTTGGAGAAAATACACTATTGCTAGTTTAGTTTTATCCCACTAGGAACTCCAGTATTTTACTAGTAAGTACTAATTGTGCATTTAACTTAATGATATTCTAATATATTTTACCTTTAACCCAGAGAGATCAAAATTATCTGAGATGATTGCATAAAAAAATTAAAAATGTTGGCCATAAATTAGTGTCAGTCTCTGGAGAGAAATGTTGAATTTTTCCTAACCCTCTTCTCTTCCCATAGTTAGTTGAGTCCCTGGTCTGGCAGCCTGATCACGAATTATATTCAGAGACCACTAAAAGCAGTGGGTTTCTTCAACTAAAAAATCTTATTTATTTCTTTGTTTGTTTTTATTTGTTTTTTTCCAGTAAGGGGTAATAGCTTATAGGGGAGGGAGGAACCCATTAGTATTTATTTATTTTAGATATTTTTTTTAATTTAGGAGAATAGAAATTATTCAATGCATCTAATAGTAAATGTCAGGAACAGCACTGGAAAGAGTAGAGTTTTTCAGAAGAACAGCTTAGAGCAGTACCACTCAAAGAGATTGTGCATGTGAGTCACCTGGGACCTGGTTAACATGCACATTGTGACCCAAAAGGTCAGGCTGGGGCTGGATTCCCAGGGTGTGTGTAGTAAGCTTCTAGGTGGTGCCAGTGCTGCTGGCCCTTGAGCCCAGTGGCAAGACGTTAGAGTTTTCCAGAGCCAACATTGAAAACCTGGTGCAGGGGCCATTGAATACTAAGATGTGACATCTATTTCAGTTGGTAAACAATGAGGACCTCTGAAGGTTTTAGGGTCAGGGAAGCCCACATGATAAGATGGATAACTTGCTAGGGAGTCCAGTTGGTTATAACCATTCAAACTGCAGAAAGAAGGGTATGAAGGGAGTCAGGGAGGGGGGAAGCAGGGAAGGCGGGACTATGGGAGTAAAAGACACCCCCCCCCCAAAAAAAGAGCATGCATCTTCAAAGCAGTGCAACTAAAATGCCTTCTGATCAAATAGTGCTAAGTCAAACAAAGCAGAGATCAAATTGTGGATTTGGCATGTTCATTAAAAACATCATGGTCACCTGATATTTTGACATTCTATTGAAATTATAATAGAAACAAATTTTTGTTCTTAACAAGCACATTTAATCAGAAGGCATAACAATAACCAGCAAAATACAAATTGAAGACAAACCTATGTATATATTTTACTCCTAAATCTTTCTTTTCTCTTTAAGTAAAATAATTGTAACAAAGAAAAACAAAAGACAAAAAGGAAGGTAAATGTTAAGAAGAAATAGCTCTAGAAATAAGGAATTCTTTTTCTTTTGCCTACAGTTAAATCTACTGGAGCTGGAAACAATCTTATTAAAATGTGGGAAAACTCTCTTTTTTAAAGGTTTATTAGTATAACTCATCTTTAATTTAGAAGCAAAGGAAACTGACTCATTATTTAGAGATGAATTTTATTAAACTGATGTTAAATCAAGCGCAGAGAATCAAACAGACCCGTGGAAGATCATACAGAATGTGCACAACAGTTTGCTCCATGTAAACCCGATTTCATTCTGTGAAACACAGAGCTGAAAATGGGAACACAGCTCTGCGGTCTGGGATGGCGATAAGAATTACAAAAATGTTATTAAATCAGAATTTTAAAATAGAGTTGGGGCCAACTAAAAATCCTAAACAGCTTCAAGGAAATTCAAGAAGAGGAAAACATTTTGGAGGAAAACTTAGAACATAAGCCATAAACAAACTAGATAAGTACATCAGATGCCAAAGAACAGAATCATAAAAACAAAACATTAGAAATCCTAAGATGCACTTTTATTTTATGAGGCACCAATGTATTTAATAGATACATTAGAAACAACTTTATTGTTCTAACATTAAGTAGTATTTCAGCCTGAAAGATGTTTTTATATTTTAAAAATATGCTGAATCCAAGCAGTTCACTTTCTTTTTCTATTCTCATTTAACATATTGTTAAATTCTAGACATGACTCATCACTGACAGAGATAAGGAACAAAATCTTGCACTAATAATTGTTCTTCACTCACTAATTAATCTTTCTGTTTGTTTAGAATTTTGGTATCAGATGATCTTGCCTCCGCATTTCGATAAATCTAAGAAATATCCTCTGCTATTGGATGTGTAAGTATTCAAGACGAGGGAGCAATTTTGAAGTGTTGGAGTCATGTATTTTTTGCCCATTGCAGCTTATTGAAAAATAGGGCCGAAATGTATCCTTTCTCTCTTCCTGAATCACTACCTACTATTTCCTTCTTCCATCCTGTAATCATAAACCCGTCTGTGTTTTCTCACATCTTAATAGAGAAGGTTGATACTCCTTTTCTGTCATAATGACATGTGGATTTCTTTTTTTTTTCTTTCTTTTTTTTTTCTTTTTTTTTTTTTTTTTTTTTCTTTTTTTTTTTTTTTTTTTGTTTCTCTGAACTCCAAGGGAAAAGGAACTCTCAAATCTGCATTTTCATCTTTACCTCCTGGACATTTTAACATGCAAGAGATGGATATTAACAGTCTTCATAGTTCCCTACCTTCAGTTCCCATTGGCTGCCTCAAGTTTCTCTTCCTTTAGTTCCTGAAATTTTGCGGCCTGGTATTTTCTGTTCCCCTTTTTGGTGAAGACAAGTGATAGAGGAGAGTGTTCATTATGATCCAAACTTCTTCAAATCTTAGAGAAAGTTCTGAAATCACAAGTCTTTGAACAGTAGATGTGAACTCTAAATATGAAAGCTTTGTAAAATATTTTTGACAATTATTAGGAATGCTCTATACTTTAATCCTTCTACAATTGCCCTGATCTCACCAATAATGCCACAATGTCATACTCCTCTTGTCCTAGCTTACATCATTTCCTTTATTAAAAACAAAATAAACCAACAAATGTGCTGGGTGCCTGCCATGTGCCAGATGCTTAGCATAATTTGCCTCATTTTATTCACACAACAAGCCCATGTGGTAACTTATATTGGCCCATTATATGGAAGAAAAACTGAAGCTTTTTTTTTTGTTGTTACTAGCAAAAAAAAAAAAGGAGGGGGGAATGGACATAGACATTAGTATCAGAAACAACTTTGTTCCATTATATTCAAAGTTTCATAAAAACTAAGCATAAAAGCACAAAGAAAGGGAAAGACAGGTATTTTAAACTTCCAGATGTGCTATTTGATTTCGTTAAGACTAATTTTGACTTAATAAAGTAGAATTCATTAGTGACACTAACTTGTTTTAGGTTTTAGCTCTAATACTAAAAAAAGCATCTGTTAGAAAAGAGTGATATTTCTATTTTCTTTAACTTCCCACTAAGTAATGATTAGATTCCACCCCCACCCTTCACTAGGAAAAGTAAAAAAAAAAAAAAGGTAAATCGAGCACCTGTTTTTGTTCAGTTATTTTTCTCCTTTTTTTGATTCTAAATCTTTGTTTTTCTATTTTTAAAAAATCTTGTGTAATCTTGGAATTAGGTAACTTGATACATACTTAATATTAAGGCAAGCTTTTAGTCTACCAGATTAAATATCGTTGAGAGGCCCAAGGCGTTTCACGTGTTATTAAAAAATGTTTACATGCCCCTCAAAATGCATGAACTCATTCTCCTGCTTAAAGTTAGAATGTTGCCATGTTTAGTTTAAAATTAAAATAGTACAATATTTTCTTTCAAACTAAAGTTCTGTTGACTGCCCTAAGAAGAGGGAGGAAAGCATTAGCAAAGGCATGCGATCAGGACTTGTGCAGTCCTGTGGGGGGTATAGTGCGCAAATGAGTCGGAGAGATGGGGAGGGAATAGTTATCGGAGAAGGTCTGTGCCCAAGAGTCCTGTGGATGGTGCAAAGATAACATAATTAAATGAAATGCAATGAGCTACAAGGTACTTTTCTTTAATAACAAACAGAAATGAGAGGGCTTAATGGAGATTGCACACACAGCCATGTGTAGGGGAGATTGTAAAATGTGAAGATGGCAGACACAAGGCCGTTAAACTTGTTATTAATAGTAAGTAGAATGCCAAACAACGTATCTATTTTCCAATACAATCTATTTCTTTCACCTTTTAAGTTTTAAATAATCTTGTTCATTCATACTTTAGCCCATTCCACAATGATTTGTGGAATCTTAGTGTGAGCAACTCTGTACTAGGTACTGTGGGAAATACAAAGCATATGATGCAGCAAAGTCCTTTAAAAAGTTGCAACCTAGGAAATAAACTGGTAGTCTAGGAGTATTTGTAAGCTGACATGGAAAGATATATTCAAAGCTGCATTTAATGTCATCATCATGATTTTTTCATAACACAACTCCCCTATCCTGACTATTAGAAAAATTATTTCTTAGATTTCCAAGATGCTATAATACTGCAAAAATGTTGGCCTGTGAAATCTATATTTGATAGCAGTCTTCAAAGATAAAACTGATGCACATCTTTGAGGGAAACACCCAGCCATTACAGACGAGGTGCTAAGTTTTAGAGGACCCATTCTGTACACCCCAGGGGCTGGCACAATTTCAGGCTCATGATCGGGAAGGATGCACAGTTCTCATCCTCAGGGAAGAGAAATGCAAGCACTCCTTTCTTCATTTGATTTGAGAAAACCATGAAAGCTAACAATTTGGGATTTTTCGTAGATATGCTGGCCCCTGTAGTCAAAAAGCAGATGCTGCCTTCAGACTCAACTGGGCCACTTACCTTGCAAGCACAGAAAACATTATAGTAGCTAGCTTTGACGGCAGAGGAAGTGGTTACCAAGGAGATAAGATCATGCACGCAATCAACAGAAGACTGGGAACATTTGAAGTTGAAGATCAAATCGAAGCAGCCAGGTGAGTGACAAGGAGATGAATTCAAAGGTTATCTGATTTCCCCCCCCTCAATTTATATTTTAAAGTTATAAAGTATAAAAAAGAATATAAAGTGTCCCGGGATGAATTTGTAATCTCACATTTCTGTGGTAGGTTTTTAGTGAAGATATTATGTTTAGATAAAAATATATGACATTATAGATTTCTATAAAGTTCAAAAAAAGCATTTCCTACATGCCACTCTGTATGTGACTCTAGAAAGAAAGTTGGCATATGTGTTACAACCTTCTAAGAACAGAGACTTGAAATTCTTCAGAAATGTGGACAAACTGAAGGGATAAATGTACTCTGAGTAAACATCTGACCAAACAAGCGAGCCCACCCTTTACAGTCAGCGATAAGCAGGGGAGTTCAGCGTACATTCACTTTGTAGGGGTGACAGCTATGAGGTCCTTGGAGTGGCTCCTACAGTCTGGATGGGGGCGACTCTCCTATTTTGGGAAAATTGTCACACTCACAAGGGCTTCGTCAAGTATGGAATCACATCTCATTCTTGTGCTCTCCACTTATGGGACTATAAATAGACGTGATCTGGCTTAAGAGAGATTTTAATCATGAATAATGGTTACCCAAGTAATGTGCCCATAACGTGGGAAGTGTTTTACCTGCAGGCATTGTCACTGAAGCCCTGGGAGGTGGGTGTTCCCACCCCCTATTTCAGGCATGGAAATGTAGGCTCTTAGGTTAGGTAACTTGCCAAGGTGAATCAGGCTTGGAATCCAGTTTCATTTTGAAGCTTAACTTTAATTAATTTCAAGTGGCAAATGGGAAATGTAACTCTGAGTTTCTATAACCAGCTGCAGGGGTGTCTGGAGAACCATGATAGTGGGGACGGTGGGGTGGTTTAAAATAATGCTGCGAAGCCATAGATGAGAAAATGCACAAAGATCCATGAATTATTAAATAAATGGGAAAAAATGCAAGGAAAAAGGAAACCATAACTAAAAAGGAGACGATTTGTTAATTATCCCTGGGTGGATGAAATTCTCTTGTACCAAAGTTGTGATTAGCTATTTTCCTTAACAATTAAAAATATAGATTTAGATTAGACAGAGGATAAATTTGTTTAAGAGTGAGAATTTGGTATTTTAAAAATAAATTTTTCTCTATCCAGACTGGTTCTCTGTGGGAGAGGGCATCGTTTTTAAGGCCTCCTATATATCTGACCAAAGAAAGCCCTAAAATTACAAAATTGAGTACCCACAATATACAAACCTGATTTAAAAAGTAATGAGATGTAGTGCAACTATACAATGGAACACGATTTCGAAACTAAAAAGAACTGTGTGCAACATGGATGAATCTTACAAACACACTGTTGAATGAAAGAAACCAGACACAAAAGTCTATATCCTTCATGGTCCAATTTATATGAAGATTAAAACCAGGCACAAATTCAGGTTATATTTTTGTGGAATCAAATAATTTAAAACATTTTATTTTGTCTCTTTGCAAAGAGGAAAATGGCCTAGAGGCTTGTGATAGTATGCACAGGTTGTGGTTTCAAGGATATGTACATTTTGCACAAGTTTATCATTGTACATTAATAATTGGAAGCGCATTTCTGTATGTGTGCATTCTTCAATTTAAAAAAATTTACATGGAGAAGATAATGAGTTGAAAACTATTTTTCTTCTTCTTCTTTTTTTTAATACTGTTTAACTGAGAACAGCCTAGGACATACAAACACATACTCACAAACACAAAGAGTTTCATAGTCACATACAGGTCAATACAAGGACCCCCTGTACCCCCACAAAGAGTTTCATTTGCTAGATTTTTTTAAGTAAAAAATTTCCTTTTGACGTAAGGCTAAGATTAAGAAATAGGTGCATAAAATATTTTTCTCTTTACCTGGATTCCAATTCTGAACACAGCTTAGTTAGAAAAAGACTTCTTAATCCGTCAAGGAAAAATTGCTTTCTATTTAATGGTGCCGAGCTAACTAATCAACACCCAGCATAAGAAGGGATTTATTTAGAGAATGATGTTTAAGTTCTCAGGTAGGGGGCCCAGAGACATCTCTAAGCCCTGCTCAGATATTCTTCATGCCCTTATCTCTCTCCATTGCAGGGGCAGACAATCTCAAACTGAAAAACATCTGGAGAGATTTAAATTCAATTATGTAAAGAAAAGTGCATCTGGGCTGCAAATTTTTATATAAAGCTGTGAAAAAAAAAAACCTGCCAGCATTTGTTTTCTGTGAATCACACACACACACACACACACAATTTTTATGGACTCCAACAAAAGTAAACCTTGTTCATCTGGATCTTAAGTTAAAATGATAAGATATTTACTCAGGTGTTTATTTGACTGCTGGCAGAAATTCATCTTAGTTTCTAATAGAATAAAATAGAGAACAAATGGCCGGGTTTCATATTTGTGCAGTGTCTTAGCTTTCTATACACGGTTTAATACTGATTTGTGGACTTTTATGTGTTTTAGACAATTTTCAAATATGGGATTTGTGGACAACAAACGAATTGCAATTTGGGGCTGGGTGAGTAGTTGTTTGACTGATGAATCTGTATGCATTCCTTAGTGAATATAACTCATAGCAGGTTAATTTATGTTTTGTATGTAAATATTTGGAGGAAAATCATGTCTATCAAGTCTTAGATCTCTGGGCGATAACCCTCTAGAGTCTCCGCTGAGCCAGGCTTTAAACACCTTTGTTTATTATGATGAGGCAAGTTCCTGAGGAAAAGAGAGCAAGAGTGGAGGAAGGAAAGAGGGAGGGAGGGACAGAGGAGGAGAGGGAGGGGAGGGAGGGAAGGAGACTTGTTTTCATAAGTCAGTCAGTAAAGATTTTGTGTTTATTGTTTTTTGTGTTTTTCTTTAATTAGTGCTACCCAGTCACCAAGGTCAATACATTTTCCACCCTTTCCCCCTTACATTTTACCAAGAAAAGGGATCAGGCCTCTGAAAGTGTAGTCTTCAGATACTGTCCAATTAAGGCCAATTTAAGCCTCCTATACCATGCTTTCTATCTCTAAAGAGGCACAGTATATAAAGATGTGAGAAATGTGGAAACTGCGACTCGCTTACCATATGTCCTTATTCTTTTACCTCCATAAAAATAACTGTTTCCATTCCTTAGTCATATGGAGGGTACGTAACCTCAATGGTCCTGGGATCGGGAAGTGGCGTGTTCAAGTGTGGAATAGCCGTGGCGCCCGTGTCCCGGTGGGAATACTATGGTATGTAATTGCTGTCAGGTATGAAGAAATACAGAGTGTTGACCTTAAAAATGCTAGTAACAGAGCCATTCCTTTCTGAGTTTCAGTGTTTCTACAGTGAATAATAGGCTGATTCATCGTAGAGGTTCTTTTTGGATACCTATAATAAGACAATCTCATTTATTCTGCTATTGTGCAAGGCTGGGTGGTATTATATTTTATCACAGGTTTAGTTTCTTATCAACAAATTCTGTTTTCCAAATTTCAAAACAGCCCCAGTGATACATTTCTGCAGACAAATCCTTCCTTATCTTTACTCTGATTTGGGGGCTTCCCATATTAGCAGAATAAAAGCAGTGGGTGGATGTCTCTTTCCCTTTAGTTCCATGTCAAATGTAAGTAGGGATTGGGTGGGAAGAGGAGAGAAGGGACAGTAAAATTCCCAGGGTTCGTTTTTTTTTTTTTTTTCCCTCACTCTCTCTTAGTAGGTGAAAGCTATGCCAGAATATACTCTTCATCATGGAGAAAATATTATTCCTACAAGGCATCATACTCCTCTAAGGCTATAATTCCTAAGGGGGAGGGAGTGAACAGTGGAAGACTATGCAGGAGGGAAGAGTCAGATGTGGGGAGGAGATGAATGAGTTTCCTGCACCTCTACTGACCCATCTCAAGTCCTCTGTGTTGTGGAAAGACAGAATCACTGATGATGCATAAGCTCATTAAATATTTTATATCACGATGAGTGGTAGTACCAATCCTGTGGAAAGCCCTCTTTAAAAGTCTCTCCCAGTCAGAAGAAGCCAATGTAAAAAATTCATTGCAATCTGTTAAAAAAAAATTGGAGGGCATAGTTATCATTTGTTCTACATACAATGGATTTGTTTTCACACAATATTTTTCTGTTTGATATTAATTGTTCCATTGGATGGCTTGTTTTTGGAGACCTCTGGTGGTCAATAAAATAATAGAAAAAATCATTGTGAGTTTAAAAACTATAAAAATATGTAATGATAAGAAGAGAACTTCATTAAATGTATATAGCTCAACCTAATACATAGGAGTTTTGTAGAGTTCTTATATATGTATACATTTAAACAATTTTACTCAAAGATAGGATAAAAGGAGCACATAATGGTGTTTCAAGGCATGGTTCTAAAAGTTTACAATTGCATTATGTGATTATGTGTAATTTTTTTAAATGTTATTTTTTAAATTTTAGATCTTCTTACCCATATAAACCTGGTTAGCATAAATAAGAAAAGGGCATTGTGTTCTAAGACAAGCAGAATTGAAGTCTGCAGCTATTTGGGGAAAAATTTACTTTGCTTTTGAAGGCCATTTTCCCCCTATCAAATGTACCACCTAAGTTATTAATATTTAAATGTTAAAATTAAAATTTAAAAAGATATGAGTATATTATGAAGATCTTATATTTGAAAGTATTCTTTAAATATTACATTTTTATATTAGTATCCTCTAAATATATAACATTGCATATAGTCTGTATTGGTTTTAATCAAAATAATGAAATATCACTGTTAACTCATTTTGGAGGAAAATATTTTGATTTTCATAGAAATAGCATGAAGAATACATGTGGAACAACACTCCTCAGTGTAGTTCTTAATTTTTTACACTAGTCATTAAAAAAACATTAGAATGTTGAATTTAGATAATCTATCCATTTACAGAATTAATGCCATTTACAGAATTAATGAAATCAATATTGAAACACCTGGACAATTACAGTGAAATTCAAGCCATTAACCTATATAGCACAATGGCACAATGTGACTGTAATCTGGTCACATAAGGGGGCAACTTTCAAAAAAGTTATATCAGAATTCTTAAGTTATATTGGAATTTGGCCACAATAAATTTTCTCACTGATATTCTAGAGCATACATATACAGTGTATGATTTAATTTTTTTAATTGGGCAAAAATATGTTTAACTATCTAAAATAACCAAACCAATTATGCAACCTGTTTTTTTCCACCATATTTATAGATAAAAGAGCTTATGTCATTTCAACAGACTGATATTAATGTAATCTGCTTCACAATGCTCAACTGTTATAACACAAAAATTGAAGCCTCTCCACGAAGTGAGAGAAAACAAATGTTTAACTTGCATTATGATGGAGTAGCTGAGCCAATATGGGGACATACAGAAAATAAATGATAACTGAATTCTTTCTTTGCATTATAGTGAATCCCAACCTGCCAAAAAAATAAAATATGACTAAGTAAACAACTAGTCACTGAACATTGTTAGGGGTTTCCAAAAGGAAATGGATTATTGTAAACTAGGGCAGATGCCTCTGCCAGGACCAAAAAAATATGGACAATTGAAGCATTAAGTGACTTCCTAATTAAAATTCTTTGATAACATGGACTCTTTACCTCTTAGCACTTCATATTTGACTTTTCTGCAGGTGGATTATTGATTGAATTTTAGATCATCTAATTTGATCTCGCTCTGTCTCCATCATGAGGGCTGAATGGGAATGGCTTAGGGCTGAGTATGGAAAGGTGTGAGACTGAGTGGAGTTCTGGGAATTAGCATCTCTGGGGCTGCATTAGCAGGCCAAATAAAACTGATCTGGAGGAGATACTTCTGAGGGCAACACTATAATTCTACACGTAAGTGAAGACATATGAAAACATGTAAAGTAGCCCAATGAAAGAAAGAAAAGTTGTTGTTGTATGAATTAAGCTTTTTTCTCTTTTCCATCACAGATTCAGTGTACACAGAACGTTACATGGGTCTCCCAACTCCAGAAGACAACCTTGGCCATTACAAGGTAAGAGATGAGGAATCATCATACCAATTTTATAACCTATTTATAAGCGGTTTATGAACCTTTTTAAGTGTGTCTATTCTAGAAAATATATTTTTTTATTTCCAACAAAATTCTTGTTAAAAAGAAATAACACAGGTGGTTTAGAGATACTCCAATAGCTTCCCCTACTATATTCTGCATAATTACAGTCTTTATCGTATGCTATATAGGTCACAATATGCATTCATTTGGAAATACAAAGCAACATCAGATAATTACTTTAATTATAAAAATTTCAGTTTAGAAAACGTCAAATTCAGCATATTCCTTTGGAGCCCAGAAGACTGTCAACCTTTAGCTATATATTAAAATTTCTTATGATATTATCATAAGTAAGATTTATATACAAGTGTCTAATTTTCTTACTCATAGCCAAATTTGCAGAGTGTTTTCATGCAAGATTTGAGTAAAGCAGGTAAGGGGTAGGAACAGTTGGGCAGTACCCTGAAGAGCCCTAAACTCAAATTACTGACTAGCATCCAACAGGCTGGTTGTCTGACGGGAGAACTGGTGGGCAGGTTGCTCTGCAGATGTCCTATAGGATTAAAAATAGGGTGTGGGTGGAACGATCAGTGACACCCCTCATGGGCTGGTGTGGATGCCATGGCAAAGCCAGCACATTTTCTTTGGTGCCACACTGATGCAGCCAGAAGTGTTGGCATAAGTACTAGGGACTCTTCTAGCACTTTGATCCTTCCAAAACTTTCCTGATTCTATTTGTCATGTTAGTTAAATAAACAAACAAAACCTCTGAAACTTACAGCTGACAAGGTAAACCATCTCTGATGTTTACACTCTCCAAAGGATGTTCAAAATTCTTCCCAGGACAGTGAATTAACAAGAAAGAAAAACAACAAGAATAATGTAAGAACATAATTTTCCCCACATCTGTGTCATGACTTCATATTAATACATTGCTCTGAGCAAGATTTGTGCATTTTGGTAAGATGTCACCGTTATTACTGTGGATTCTGAAGCCATCTGATCAAAACACAGTAAAACTCAAAGTTTCTAGTTCTACCTGTTACTTTCTGCTTACTTAGCAAGGAGTGTGGGTGTGAGTGTGTGCATGGGGAATGGTGGTGGTAAGGCGTTTGTGTTAGTGCCTGCATGTGTGTTTTCATCTCTGGTTTTCATTCAAGATAGAAGACTAACAATACGCAAAGTGAGATGCACAAGTCATCTTCCTCTACAAAATAGTCCCATGATCAGGTTATCTCCATGTCTGCTGAAGGTTCCATCTGATACGTTGGACTCAGTTCTCCCCGCTCTTTCTCCTCTGCATCCCATAAGCTGCTTTAGTCCCCCTTGCTCTCCTCATAACCATGTTGCTGCTGTCATATAACCTGCCTCCTTTTGTAAAAATAACCCGATTTGTCTCCTCCGTAGCTTGTCTTCCCACCCTCCAGTCTACCGTGCACAAAGCCGGAAGACGAACCCCCATCCACAATCCTTTCCTGTGTACTCAACTAAGTCCCATCCTCACTCTTTAGCCGGGTGTCCGGCACCCTTCCTACAGTGGCACGGTTTGTCTGGAATGCTCACTGTTCTTGGAATGTTTCCGCAGCTTTCCATTTTGTGCCTTTGCCCTCTGCTCCTTGTGCCTGGAGTGTCATTTTCCCTTTGTCTCCAACGTGTTAGGAAACCTGCACAGCCCTCCAGTTGCAATAGCATCACTTTGAGTCTCACATTTTCCTTGTACACCTCTTAACTCTTGTTTGATTCTGTCTTGAACTAATAGTTGCCTCTTACTGGATTTTCCCCTCTGTAGTACTATTAAGCTATCCAAGGCTTCCCTCGACATCATATTCTTTGGATTTCCCTTTGTGAGGTACAGACCTTAAATCCTGTCTTAATTTAATTTAAAAACTTTTTGAAGGGAAACATTGCTATACAACTTGTAATTCTTCATCACTGCTCTCATTTTACAGCTTGAATGTTCTTGATAATGACCCAACTAGGATACTTAAATTGGCTTGCCAAAGGGTTTTCTCGGAGACCCTAATCCCTGACTCTGGCACATGGTGGATGATGAGTCAAAAGTTCATCTAGAAAAATCCCACTCAAAAAAGTCTTTTGAACCTTCTTAGAAGCACAGGGTCATGTCCAATCCCTGACATCTGCTTTCTTAAAGAACATCGGCCAACAGGATATTTCCTCTTCAACTTGCCCTCCCTCTATGATCATATAGGATAATTCATTCTAATCTGCCATTTCAACCTGCATCTTTCCCCAGTCTTTCCTGTCGCCTCCGCTTTCCCACACAGATCCCCCCATCTCCAGCCCTGCCCCCCACTGCGGTGGCCATTTTCATCTCTCCCCTTAGGTGTTCGCTGCATGAGGTAGTCATGTAAATAGAAGTCACTTCCTACTGCCAATGGCAACACACGCACACTGGGTGCACAAAGTCACTCTTTCACTTCACTGCACAGATGGCACCCGAGGACTGTTTAATCCTTCCACGCCAGGAGTCGGGTTTTCTTGGCACGAAATTCATTGCTGGCAATGGACACATTAAAACTGCCAGTACCGGGGAGCTAAAGGTTCCCAATGTGTTACTCAGAGGAATTATTTGGGAGGGTGATAGTTAAGGTGGGCAGGATAAAAGTGAGGCAAAGGCATTTACGGAATTGTCTCCACCTTGGTAAGTTGCTTCCTCTGAAACGTGGAGAACTGAATCTATGTGGAGAACTGAATCTAAGTGCCTATTTTTGGTGCACAGCAGGCTTTAGAATAAAGCTGCCCTCCTTTGTTTTTTAAATGAGCCTGTGCTTTTGTCTCTGGCAAGAATACATTCAAAGATTCTATTTTTCCTCCAAGGCCCCAGCTGCCCCTCTGGACCCCATCTTTTACTTCTCTTTCCCAGGTTGTTTTTCTTCTCTCCCTTTCTCTCCCTCTCTCTCTCTCTCCCTTCCTCCCTCCCTCCAGCTCTCCCTCCCATCCTTTTTGAAAAGACAAAGAAGACAATTCCTTAGAGGCTTTCACCACCCTGTGCATTTCAGTGGGTCAGAAAGAAATATTTTAAAAACGATTTATATTTAGTCTGGATCAGTGACTCTTTTCAGTACACTGAGGATCAGGAATGCCCAAAGTGTGTAATAAGTGAGGCCTTGATATTTTTGTCCATGTTTTTCGGCTAAAGAATTATTGATACAACAGTAGCCAGAATTATAGCCTTTACAAGAAGAATACAATTTTTAATGAAACCCAAATGAGAAAATAATTCATTATTAGGTCATTGATGACCTGGATTTGAAAAAATGTCGAGAAACCCACATCATCAGGAGAAGCACATCTTGTGCAATGACGGTCCTACTTACCATGGAGGAAAGGGAATTAGAGGAACCATTTGTACACATGAATGGAGCAGGCAGGGACACCGCGTGCAGTCGTTGAGCTTGTGCCCTGCTAAAAGAGAGTCCGCGCTCCATCTACAGCCTGCACCTGCAGCGCTGAGCCAGCCAGAGCGAGGACCCTTTCCTGTTCTTTCAAAGCTGCCATACACATACGGGACCCTGGGACTAAGGCTTAGACCCAATGCAGTGACACAAGCAGTGACTCCATAAGATTCTGTTTGGAGATAATCACCCACCTACTGCCAAGCAGCAAGGCAGGAGCACTTTTAAAGGATATCAGGGACTCTAAGAGGAAAGAAGATGTCCACCTCCCTAAAATCCCAAGGAGCCGGTCCCAGAAGCTCTAAACGGGCAGCCAAAGTGGAGCGGGTGACAAATCTGAGCTAATGAGTCGTTGTAGCTCGGTAGAAGCATCTTTTCTGCAAGGAGGCTCAGTTCCCAGCAGAAAGAAATGGTGACAGATTGGAGCAAAGAAATGAGACATCCAAGGAGACAACCCTTACAACCAGTAGCAATAAGCAAACAACTGTAGCTACCGTGAGGGGTGGGTTTCCGTCTAACATTGATGAATGGCCTCTCATGTGCTCAATCTTACGTCTTTTAGTCAAACCTGTAAAAAATATTAAAGTGTGGTAGACTTTCACTCACTCGCTCAAGGTGCCTGGTGTTTTAGTTCAGAGGTTTATTCCTTGTCAGTGAGAAAAAACATGATTTTGGGGAGAGAAATAAATGAGAACAGGTAATAAAAGATGAACTCGAATATGGCAAGGTAGCCCTATGTATAAAAAAAGACTCGTGGTTTCCAAATTGTGACTGCGAAGCCCCAGAAATTCCATAACTTGGGAGCATGTCAAGAAGGGAAGAGGAACGTCCAAGAAGTTACAGTTTCAACCTCCTCCCCCTCCCCTCAACCACAGGGACCCATTTCATTATTTCATTCATTCTTTTCATGCGTTTATTAGGTGCCTCTATGGCCAGACATTATTCTAAGCTCTTTACTTGGGTTTAATTCTCCCCTACACCCTCTGAGACAAGTATTCTGTCTCCATTTTACTGGCACAGAAACTGAGGCACGGAAATGCTACGTGACACACAGACACGGAGGGTTAGGAAAAGGAGAGGGCACTTACCTGCATCATGAGGGGAAGGATTGGGAAGATGGGAGGAGAGTGCAGATGCTCTCCAAAGGTGACGCAGAGGGGAGGAGGCGGATCAGCACGGGAGACAAATGAGTAGCAAGGAGAGTGGTTTTCTGGGGATTTGTGAAGCGGGTCCAATGAACCGGGGGATAGCGCAGGAGAAGGGCTGTGGGAAGAGCAGGCCAAATGGCGGCCAATAAGGCAGGACATAAGCCTGGGGAGGGAATGGATTCATGAATACACACAGAGAGAAGTACAAGATCAAGGGCAAAAGAAGTGGGGCCCAAGTCCTGGGCCTTGTTGCCAAGAGAAGAGGGCAGCCTGGAACACACAGAAGGGACTGATTTAACTTGTAGAGGAGATTTATTTTGCATTTTGCTCAAAATTTGATAGGCTTTTGGCAAGTGTATGAAACAGTCATAGATTTGGCAGTCTTCTGCTAGCAGATTTGAAATGTTCAATCCTT